AAGCAACTCGATGTCAACAATGCATTTTTACAAGGAGAGCTTACAGAGGAAGTTTACATGAAACAACCTCCTGGATTTCTAGATAAAGACCGACCATCATACGTGTGTCGTCTCCGGAAACCCATCTATGGTCTTAAGCAAGCACCACGGGCATGGTACATGGCACTCAAACAGCATCTCTTAACCACCGGTTTCACTAATTCAATGGCTGACACTTCTCTCTTCATACACTGTTCTGGCAACAAGATTGCATACGTTCTTGTCTATGTCGACGACATCATCGTTACTGGTAATGACAACATGTTGGTAATGAATCCTCTAAATTCGTTTGCAGAACGGTTCTCGATCAAAGATCCAACGGATCTTCACTATTTCCTTGGTATTGAAGTCACCCGCACCAAACAAGGTCTCCATCTCATGCAGCGAAAATACATTACTGACCTACTCACCAAGAACAACATGTTGGATGCGAAACCAGTCACTACTCCGTTACCGTCATCTCCGAAGCTTACTCTCACCACCGGCGATCCACTCGTTGACGCTTCTCACTATCGGTCTCTTGTTGGCAGTTTACAGTATCTCTCGTTCACACGCCCCGATATCTCTTATGCGGTCAACCGGCTCTCCCAATTTGTACAAAAACCAACACACGATCACTGGCAGGGAGCGAAGCGAATTCTGCGGTATCTTGCGGGCACCATTACTCATGGTATATTTCTCAATGAATCCTCGCCGATGTCACTTCATGCCTATTCCGATGCTGATTGGGCCGGTGATACGGATGACTATGTCTCCACTAATGGATACCTAATCTACCTTGGACGTAATCCCATCTCTTGGTCTTCGAAGAAACAACGCGGTGTTTCAAGGTCGTCGACAGAAGCAGAATATCGGGCCGTCGCAAACACCGCTTCAGAGGTACGATGGTTGTGCTCTTTACTTACTGAACTCAAGTTACCATTGCCTTCGGTTCCTGTGATCTATTGTGACAATATAGGAGCAACATATCTTTGTGCCAATCCTGTGTTTCACTCTAGAATGAAACATATTGCACTTGACTATCATTTCGTACGGAACCAAATTCAAAGTGGCATGTTGCGAGTTTCACACGTCTCAACGGATGATCAGCTTGCGGACACACTAACCAAGCCGTTGCCGCGCTCACGTTTCCAGCAAGCATGTGTCAAGATTGGAGTCACAAGGTTACCTCCATCTTGAGGGAGCGTATAAGAGTATATATGTAAATACAAATAGTTTTAGGATTCATATGTAATTATTTCTACCCTAATCACTCTAGCGTCTGTGTATATATATGTGTTAAAACACATTCTATCAATATAAGAAATATTCAGCCTCTTTATAATTAACTGCTATCTTTTTAATTGGATGATTTATAATCAGAGAAGCATCGTTTAAAAATGTGTACATATATAGTCTGAAACAAGATTATATAGTCAAAAACTCAAAATTAGTCCTACGAATGACGAAAGAACACCATTATGTAGTGTCAAACAAAATAACCTCACACTTCAAAGGCCACTTTTAATTAGAAAATTGTTAAAAAGCTAAGAAAAGTAAACTATTTGTGTAGGATAAAAAAGGTTGAATAAGTTTCTTGAAAAAAAAGAGAGAATGTAAATATGTAATGGTTCACAACTTCACATAATGGAGCACGACGGTTCTTGCTCTTCGTTAATGGACCTTTGATCATACCCATTAATTGTGTTGCATGGTACCATCCGTAGTTAAGCCCACTATTCCAAGGCGCCGGCTGGCCGATAATCCACGCTGGTTGAGAACTTGGACCGGATTGAGCTGGTGCTGGTGTTGGTGCTGGTTTGGGCTTCTCTGGTTCTTTAGGTTTTTCAGCTTCTTTGGGATTTTGGGCCGCAGGTTTGGGCGGGTCGATGGTTTCGATGAGTTTTATAGCTCCACGTCCTTTGGAACAGAGTTTGTTCATGACTTTCTCAGGACTGCAACAAACCACTTTGATTGTGACTGTGTTGTAATGTTGTTTGCTTCATCGAACTTTTGGTCTCTTACTTCTTTTGTTTTCGAAAAGCAATCAAAGAAAAAATACACAAAGTATTATTATGAAATTTTCAAACCAAAATATTCAATGAAAAACCAAAAACAAAAAGAGAGATAACAATAACATACGAGGTGTGCTGCAAAGAGCCTTCCTGACTTTTATGAAATTCTTTTCGGAGTTAAGAGGCGCCGTCTTCAATTTCATCCAAGTTACCTGTTTTATTTTCATATAATTTTCTCATTATTTATAACTTTTTTTTTAACTATTAGTTGTAACGATTTTTTGTATTAAGTGCTAAAGGTTTCAACGACATGTTAATTTGGAATTAAAAGCACAAAAAAAAAGGAGATTGGAAGAAAGAAGAAGAGAGCATTACCTTCTCTTTACCCATCTCGGCCATGGCTTTTGAAAGAGAGAGGAAGATTTGGGTTGATGAACTAGAAAAAAGAAAATGTTTTTCAGTGTAATTTTTGTATTGCTATCTATATATATTTGGAGTTTCAAAAGAGGCTAAAACGAAAAAAGTAAATATCCTACAATTTACTTTTCTTTTAGAATGTATAATTCCATAGCTATTATTTATATATATTCATAGTCCTAAACTTCCTATTGTTTTTTTAAAAAAACTTCCTATTATAATTCCATAGCTATTAAAAAAAAAATAATGTAAAATTTCCTTTAGTTTAACTTCTTCTTTTCCTTTTTGGTTGAAATTTCAAACTTATGATCAATAAAGACAGAATATTTACAAAAACTGAAAAAGAAGCTAAGTTGTAAAATTGTTATAAAAATGAAATAATAAAAGGGATTATTGTTGATTTTGCCATTTTTCATAGAAATCTTTTGAAATTGCCATTTTTACTAAAATCTTACGGATATGCCATTTTCTAACACTTAAAAACGTACGTATTTCGGATTTTTTTTGGTAAAAATACGTAGTTTATACAAAATACTAAACCCTAAGAACAACCACAACCGACTAAACCCAAACATAACGAATAAAACGCATGTTAAATCATATTTTCGTAGCCTGAAAAAGGGCAAAATCCATAAACTATTCAAAAAATGGCAAAATCCACAAATGCCATCCAAAAAAATGGCAAATCCATAATTGATTCATAATAAAATGAAAGAAAGAAAAAAAATGGAAAACAGTGCATTCTAAAGAAAGAAGTAAACAGATTTGGTCAGGTGTGTCTAAAGAAGGAAAAGGGCAACGAGGCAACCCCTTGAGCTTACATTCTCCACAATGCAAATGAGCTGAGAGGAGGAGATCTCACTACGGTTGTGCGTACTCGAATTTCTCTCCTTTCATAAATCGTGATTGATATTTTTAATATTCCCTCCGTTTCAAAATAAGTGTCGTTGTAGAGAAATTTTTTTGTTACAAAATAAGTGTCGTTTTCGACTTTCAATACAAAATTTATTAGTTTTATAGTGTAATATATTTTTCTATTGGTTGAAATGTGGTTAGGTGTATAGGTAATTGTGTTTTTATATAGAAAATATGTAAAATTAATTGTTTTGTTAATTTGTGTGCACAAAACTAAAGTGACACTTATTTTAAAACAGAAGGAGTAGTATTTTCTTTAACATTTATGAAAATTTTATATATTTTCATAAAAATTGGAACAACGTTCATATTTGGACAGTATTTTTTCGGGATAACGCATGTTTTCTAATTTAATTTTATAATTGAAAACTGTCTGACAAAAAGTATAGTTTATAAAGCTTATTCATTTGCTGAAAGTGACATTGTTAAGGTTGGGAGGATTATTGCTGGCGTGACCAATCGAGTCGTAACATCAAGCAAGTGGGCGTTGAATTTGATGTTTCAGTTCAGACTCTACAAAGCAAAGAAAATTTAAAATCAAACAAAATAAAAGAGACAACAAATTTGATAAATTGTGAATCGAATAACTCAAGTCGTTTAGCCCATTAATACATTTCATATAGCTAATAGATATTTGCTTAGAGTTGTATGCAGTGATTGCTAAATGCTAACAATAAACACAATCTGAAAATGATTTTGTCAAAATAGGTCTCCGAAGAAATATTTTATTTTTATTATCACTTGACTATGGTTCAGATTGGAATAAACTTTTTATTTTAAAAAGAGATAAAAAAAATGAAAAAATTGATTAAAATTAAATGGGCTGACCTTATTTTATATAATTAAGTAAAGTTTTTCTTTTTTTTTTTGTCGTAAGTAAAGTTTTTCATAGTGAGAGTTTCTAAAAAGGTGACACGTGTCTCCTAATTTTTTTGACATGTTGCATTCATTGACTTAATCAATTTTGAATCAATTTTACATTGACTTATTTACTTTTGTTTATTTTATGTTTTACTCTATAATATTATTCTATTTTTATTATTTTCTTTTTATTAGTTGGTTAAACAAAACTACAAAAGTATTCTATTTTCAGTTATCCATTTCTAAATAATAAATAATTTGTTTGGAAAAAATCCCAAACATCCAAATTTATATATATTTTATTATATATAAGTAAATTTAAAAAGATTCATCTTAATCTCTACAACCTCTTCCCTAATCATCATTATATCTCAAATTCCTATAAAGTTTTAAATTTTATAACATCATTGTTCTATTTACCTAATGGTGTTTAAAAAAAATTTCTTATAATCACTTTTGAAAATCTGAAAACAAATGTTGATTTTCGTTTGTAGATATTACAAATTATTATGTTTATAAGAGATTCATGTGATTCAATAAGTTATGACACAAAATTATGATATATATATCAATTGTATAATATTTTATGAGAAATGTTATGATAAAGAAATTGTTTTTGGAAAGGAAGTAACTTTTTAGTACAAAAAAAAAAGTGGCAAATTTAAGTCGTATTTTCAATTGTAAAAATTCTCATTTGCTCATTTGCTAAGTTCACTAAATTTGTTTTGAGAAATTTCTCAAAACACCACACTTTTCAGTTTGTTTTCACAAATATCATAAACATAACATTAATTTTCAATGGTATAGAGTTTAAAAATCTTACATCTCAGAGATCTCAAAGAGGAGATATGGACGGAGATCGCAATAATTACTCACGGTTCAAACAAGTAAACCGGTTTACATAAGTGAAATTGAAATTACTAAACCAAAAATACTTAACCACGTGAATTAGTAACAAGACTTCCTGTTACATACGTCTAAGAGCTAAGAGAGTCCACATCTTCACAAGTCTGGTCAGGTTTTGGCTGAAATTAACAATCCCTCCAGGAAGTTGAGGAACGTGTACTGCATGATGAAGTTCAGCCACGGATCTTAACTGCAACTGACCTATGAGTTGGATAACAGAAGCAGCTGCAAGCCACCTCGTACCAGCCAAGTTAAAAGCTCCATTATTAGCAATGTTGAGATCAACATGGGCATGTAATGCGTTAAAGTGATCCACCAGATTTGTGTACTCCACACTGTTTAGAAGTGCTAGACCCGGATTGATAAAAGCGATGACACGAGTCATGGCCAAAATGCGCAAGATCCTTCTCATCTGAAAAAAAAAAAATGTCAAAAAAGTAATCAAATAGAGACTAAATTACAGATTGAAAAGCAAATAAACAAATACCTCATCAACAGCAAATAAAATATGTGGGTGATGATCATATAGGAAATTGCCAATGATCTCCCTGTAATCAAGCATATCTAATCTTCGTTGATTCAAATCTGTGATAGCATTCAAGACCTCATTGACTTCGTTAGTCTGGTTGATATAATGTTGAGTCCACTCAGTGTTGTCAGCACAACAAGCAGGAAAATGATCTGGAAATGCACCGCACTAAAAAAAAAAGAAAGCAATATGATAAATACAATAGCAAAAATTATACAGAAGTATTTAATATTCAAAAGAAAAAAAAAAGTAACCAACATACCATAGCACAGTAGGTCTCGTCACAGACTACACAATGTGCATAATAGACGCTCCCATGTTGTGGATGAATCTCTGACTGTTGACCGCACAATGGACAATTCACCATTCTCTGGGAATGAAAAGAAAAAGATTGATTTTTATTCTCAAGAAAGAAATTTCAATGTCACAAACCAAGAATCTAGAGATGAAGACAGTAAAATTACAGATTCAAGCTCTCACGCAGCAACATGGAAGGATTTATCAGACTTCAATGGAAGATTCAAGACAATACTAAACAACACAAACTCGATTTCATCGTTTTAAACAGAAATTTCAATGTCACGAACCAAGAATCTAGAAACGAAGATAGTAAAACACAGATTCAAGACTATACTAAACAACACAAACTCGATTTCATCGTTTTAAACAGAAATTTCAATGTCACGAACCAAGAATCTAGAAACGAAGATAGTAAAACACAGATTCAGGCTCTCGTGTAGAGATTTCTTCATTTTCAGAAAAGCTAGGGTTCGCAAAAATCGCAATGGACGTACCTTGTTTCAGCTTAGGAGAAGGATTTGCGAATGAGATGCGAAGGAACGTTCGAGAATCTGAGAGTTGGCTGAGTAGCTTCGCTGAGTAGAAAGATGAGAGAGATAGTTCAGACGGTCAGACCCTTAGTTCTTCTTTTATGACATTTATTTATGTTTTATCAACAACTCATTTTCTTTTTTAACCGGGATTTCAATTATATCGATAAATCATTTTGTTAAAATAATCATAAATTTATATACAATAATGATAGATTATTATTATTAATATATTAACCCAAAATTATAAATCTATAAAGTTATAAACACTATAAATAAAGTTCTACTATGTATTTTATATTATAGTATTATATTATAATTTTTTATTTTAAATGACATATAATCTAGATATTTTAGAATTTTATTTTGCATAATCACTATCGTGTAAAATAAAATATTTTGATATTTTAGATTTTTGGTTCTATAATATTTGAAAATCCTTTTAATTGCCAGTTGTTTTTTTTTTGGTAAGTGACGGGAGACTATGTCTCCCGGTTTTATTCAAAGCAAAAATAAAAGTTACACAAGGACTTGCCTTGGTCGTACGGACCCAAGGTTATCCTCCCTCCAAATCGAGTCTACACTACTCGGAACAGTATTAAACAAATGAAAACCAAGCGGTAACGAGAAGGCATAGTTCGCTAATCCGTCTGCAGGACAATTAGCCTCCCTATACACATGTGATATTCGGACTTCCCAGTCCTTCGAAATAAAGCCATGGCACAAGCGTACCAGGAATGACAGCGGATGATGCTCCCCAATCCCTGTCTTAAGAAACTCCACCACGATTGCCGAATCTACTTCCAACTCCACCCGCGGAGCTCGGGCTGCCCACGCTAAATATAATCCATAGTATACCCCCCCCCCACAATTCTGCCAACGGTGCCGAACATCGCCCAATATTCAGCGCAAACCCACCACACCATCTTCCTGCACTATCCCGGAGTACCCCTCCTGCAGTAGCTAACCCGGGATTCCCATGAGACGCACCATCTGTATTTATTTTTAACCAGCCCGCCATTGGTGCCACCCATCCTACCAACATCTCCACTCTCGGCCTCTTCTCCTGACCCACTCCGCTATTAAGATTAGCTTTGTTCACCTCCATTGCTAACTCTCTAATAAAACGCACTCGGTCTCGACATCTCTTGTTCTCCCCAAACACATTTTCGCACCTCCATTTCCAGCCCCACCACACTGCCAAAGCAAACATCACGGACCAGGGACCATCCTCTACCTGTGTCTCCTCTCTCAAATTTGCATATAACCACTCAAGTATTGTCTGCGTAAAGAAAGCCAGCTGTCTCCTCCTAGGAACAATCCGGGTCCATATACCTGACATCGCCGGACAATCCCTGAGGATATGCAAAATAGTCTCGATCCCCCCCTTACAAATCTGACAAACTTCCGAATCGCACAAATGTCTCCGATATCTCTCCGCATTTGTCATGATTGCTTGATTCCCGACAAGCCATAAGAACATTCTCACGCGTTCTGGTACTTTCACCTTCCATATACAATAAAAAAAAGACGCCATATTCTGCCTTGGCCCGTCTTCCCATGTCAGCATCCTATACGCAGACGACACCGTGAAATTCCCATCCTGGTTCTTCCCCCAGGAAACTCTGTCTTTTGACCCCGTAACACTGTCCACTACCAGCGACGTTAATTCAAGTCTCATGTCTTGAGATATGTGCGGGGTTATTCTGGTCAGATCCCAGCCCATACCATTATGCCATAAATCCCGAGCCAACACCGCTTCATCATTAACTGGTATGTTACCCATTCCATCATCCAAGAGCCTCTTACCCGAGACCCACTTATCTGTCCAGAACCGTATCTGCCTGCCATCGCCTATTACCCAGCTGATTCCCCGCATTACTACTTCCCGCAGCCCAACTCCGATACTCCGCATAGTCGATGACCAATTTCCTTTTGCCACCAGCCACCTTGGATCATGAATCTCACCAACCTTATATTTAGACCGTATCACTCGCGACCAAAGACTCACCCGGTCATTTAATAGCCTCCAACCAACTTTCGCTATCAATGCTTTATTCATATCTGTAGCCATCCGGATCCCCAACCCGCCTTCCTTTTTTGGTAAACACACTCTCTTCCAACCAACCAAGTGTTGTTTCCTTTTTTCCATGGTGCTTCCCCATAAGAAAGACCGAGATGCTCTCTCCAACCGTGTTAATGTGGATTTCGGCAGCAGAATCGAACTCATCGAATGGACTGGAATTGAGGATAAGACTGCCTTCGTGAGTGTTAGGCGTCCTGCAAAACTCAAAGTCTTCTCCAGGGCCGGCCCAAAAATTCATGATGCCTAAAGCCCAACAAAATTTGATGCCCATTTATAACAACTAAAAATTAAAAAATGTTTAAATTTTCGTTTGCCAGGTATCGAGCCCACGACCAACTACTTATAGAAGTCCTTAATACCACTAGGCTACAAGACACTTTTGTAATTTTTATGCCCTTTAAAATACATATAAGATTTGATGCCTAAAGCATCTGCTTGCTGGGCTTTAGGTCTGGGCCGGCCCTGGTCTTCTCCTTCCAACCCGAGAGCCGAGACGACACTTTCTCCAAAATATCTCCAAAAGTGTCCTTATTTATTCTCTTTTGAAGAACTGGCATACCAAGATATTTTCCAAGATCACATGTTGACGCAATACCACTCTCATCGCTAATCAATTTCCCCAACTCCCGCGAAACATTCTTGGAAAAAATATCTTTGATTTTTCAAGACTGACCTTCTGACCAGAAGCTACACAAAACGTTTCAAGGACCTTTCTAATCACCCGTACTTGCGCTACTGAAGCCTCTGCAAATAAAATGAGGTCATCAGCGAAGCAAATATGGGATAACTTGGGCCCACCCTGCGACAAACTAATCGGTTTCCACTGCTTCTTCTCAATAGAAACCTCAATCATATGGCACAATCTCTCCATACATAGGACGAAAAGATAAGGTGACAACGGATCCTCTTGTCTAAGCCCCCGCCGTGGCTTAAACGCTTCTGTCCGCTCCCCGTTCCAAAGCAATCTCATCGAAGGGCCTGTCACACATGCCATGATCCATCGGACCCATCTCTCAGCCAGCCCCGCAGCAATAAGGGTATCTTCCAGAAAGTCTCATCTAATCCTGTCATAAGCCTTCTCAAGATCCAGTTTCAGAAGCATCCACCCTTTCCGGCCTTGTTTACGTTTCATAGAGTGTACCGCCTCCTGCACCACTACTATATTATCAATGCTCACTCTCCCAGGTATGAAACTCGACTGAGCTGGCCCAATAAGCTTCGTCATGACTCGCTTAAGCCTCTCCACCATCGTCTTAGTTATTATCTTAAATAACACATTACATAAGCTTATTGGACGAAACTGCGTGATTTTCTCCGGCTTCATCACCTTGGGAATCAAAACCAAGAGTGCATCATTCAGATCTGCAGGTAGAGTTCCAGATTCAAAGAAATCCAGCACAAAACATGTAACAGACTCGCCGACTACTTCCCAACATTGTTGCCAGTTGTAGTATACATGGTGGTGATTTCTTTTAACCTTTTTCTAAAAGAGTTGCTAAAACCAAAATCGAAAATTAACCTACTTTTTTTCAAATTCAATTTTTTTTGGAGAAAGTATTGAAATTGGTTAAAAGGTGTGTTTCGAGTAAAAACAAAATTGGTTAAATGGTGTGTGAGTGAAGTGAAAACCGTTCTACCTGACTTTTGCAATAATAACTTAAACCGGATTTCGAAGTATAATCTCAAACAAAGCAACTGATCGATATGTAGGCAACATTAATTTAATGTCTTAGTAAGAAAATACTGACATATAAATAAATAACTACATAACGTAAGAGAGTGAAGAAACCATCATAAAAGTAGAAGTGGTCATAAAAATTACATAGCGTTTTGATAAACATCATCAACTCCTAAAAGAGCCTAAGATACAAAATAGAATAAGAGAACAGAGTCTAAAGAAACATAAGGGAACAAAGATCACAGCCTACACAGACATGGACGATGGAGAGAGAGAAGAAAGAGCATGAACAATGGTAACATCCTAATTCACTTTACAGACATTACCCTACCTCTCCTTGTTGTTTGGTTAGAGACACAATCATCATCACATTGTTCTTTTTGTTTTCTTCTCCTGCAAACACCCTTAAACGATTAAAAATTTCATGGAACACACAACAAGCAAACCCACCATCATCATCACCACTTGCTAGCTTTTTTATATCATGAGCTCTCTTTAGAACAGAGCTTCTTGCATAGCCTCTGCTTCTGTTTGTGTTTGTCCTTGTCCTTGTCCTTGTCCCACTGGTTCGGGTTCAGTTTCAGGGTGTTCCTCGTCTGGCAACTGCACTTCTTCCATGTGCTGTGGCTTGTTTGTTGTCTCCGTTGTTGTTCCTGTTGTCCCTTCCAGGTCCTGTATGGCTTGAACCACCGCTTGATTTTCAGTTCCTCCTATCTCAGCTTTCAACACAGTAACAATATCCTTAGCTCTCGCTTGCTGCATGACATCAAAACCAAGCATAAGCAATTAAGCTTGAAGCCAAGAAAGAACCATATTGTGTTTTTGTTTATTAGTTAAGTTACAAACAACTCAATCTTCTTCTTGAGCTCTCCATAGTCACCATCTTGTTGTCCAGAAGCTCTCACTGACACCGCATTCTATGTTTATAAAATGGCAACAACATAGAGGTAATTTAGATAACTAATCAATACAACAGATTAACAAATTCTAGTGAAACAATTGGCAATAAAAAGACTTGTAAAATACACAAATTATAAACCTTAAATTGAATAAACCAATGCTGGACATTTGAGCCTCAATAATTAAGTTCCTATGTAATTCCCATAGTTCAAGTGAACAATTATTAGCAAGCCACCTACCAACTTGCTCTTGATTACCAAACAAAGAGAAATCTTAAATAAATAGTACACTAAAAAACAGATAAATAGAGTCCAAAAGCAGAGACCACGAATATAATTAAACTCTAGAAACTATTTAGATACTCTCTACTCACACGCTCGAAAGAGACAGTGTTCAGAAGGGAAAGTGACATTTATTCACAAGGACAAAAATTTCCAACTTTTTCTCGTCCATTTGACTCGGAAAATTGAAACACTCAAGTTCTATAATATCCACTGTGAGATCACAGAAACACTGACAAAACAGAGGAAAACAAAAAGGAAGGAAATTTTATACCTTTCTGGGTCTTCCTACGGGTCTACCAGTACGAGTAAAGCTTCTCTTAGGCTTCATAGGCTTCCTAATAACACCACCGATCTTAGGAGGCCGTCCTCGTCCTCGTTTCTTGACTGCAACTTCCTCTCCTCCACTCTCTACGTTAGGTGGTTGTGGTGGTGGAGCAACAGAAGAAGCACCAGCATCAACTCTCTTTGGCCTCCCTCGGCGTCTAACACCACCATTAGCAACATACGGGAACACCGAAGCTGGAGCTGAGATAACTGTAGGCTTCCTCTCTCTTCCAGCAGCTCTTCCACTCGGAGGTCTACCTCTTCGTTTCACAATTTCCACACCACCGGAAACAGAAGCAGCAGTCTTCACTGTAGGCAAAGCTCCATCCTTTCTAGGACGTCCTGGTGGCCTCTTAATCGGTGGTGGCTGTATCTGTGCCTGCGGCTGTGGATGTATCTCATCCTGTGGTTGAGAAACAGGTAATTCACTTTGTTCCCAGGTTGGTTTCCCGTTAGTCTGAAGTTGAGGTTGAACTTCAGGTTTAGGTTTTGGAGAAATTAGGTCTTCCAATGGTAGAATCCTTAATAGGGATGCTAATAGTGATGTTCTTATTTTGTGTAGCTACTTGCTTAGTTTGTTGATAAAATGATTTTGAATTTTTTGGATGAGCAGTAACATGAACTTGAACGATTACATTGAAGAAACAAAAGAACTTTTTTATTAAAGAAGAAATATTTCCATGATTAAATATGTTCTGCAATCTGTGTTCAATGATTACAAAATTCATTAGTGATATGCATTTTTAGACAGTCATGAAACAATATTCACAGGTTGCCTCAGACATTAGTGATATTCATCACTGAAAACCCGATAATACGTGCAATTGTTAAGGCACATCATTGGCAAAACCAATGAGACTGTTAATCACTTGATGATATAGAATGAACAAAGATAAAATTTGAAGATTCATAGTAATCTGCATAAGAGAGATTCCCGTTTAGACATACATAGCTCATCATTCTAATTATGATGTCCCTATCTTTTCATCTTCACTTGCACTCATCAAAAGACACCAAAATGGCATTAAAACAAAACAAAATAACAACCAAATAAAAACTGAAAACACTAGATTATAGCAGATAATTTGAATACTACAATATACTATCACTATGACATGTGCATCAGAGAGATTCGCATCTAGACATTAGTCCCTGTCTTTTCATCATCACTTGCACTAATCAATTATAAACCACAAAAGGTAAACTAAATCAAAACAGAAAACTAGGAGAGCCACCATAATCAAACAAAACAAGATACATATCAAAACAAACCAAAAGTTTACTATTCTATCGATATCTGTAGATAGATTTGAGGTAAGAGTCGAAAACCATACCAACACCACATGCTGCAAGATACAACAAGGAAGGCAGATGAACCAAGTCCTCCAGCTCCAATAACTAACACCAAAGACTTCAAAAGATTTGACTGCCCTAAAATCATACACACACAAACTTAGAACAAAAAAGAAGAATCAAATTGTAGCAGATGAAACAAGCAATTCAGATTTCAAACAAATGAAGTCAAATGTTTTTATCTTTTAGCTCCATGATCAATAACTTAGAATTATCCATCCTATTGGCTAAAAAATTCAAAATTCAATGAGAAAAGTACCTTCAACAGCAAACCAAGGAAGTAACAGTTGGCGACTGTAACGGTAAATCTGATCCGAAGACAACCCATGTTCAAGCTCCGGCGCCGTTTGATAAGAGAAACCATTTGATACGACGTCGCATCGTTCAACCGCCGGAGCTTTGCTTCGAGGGTCGATATACGGTGCTCTATTTCCGCCTTCTCGAGCTTTAACTCTTCCAATTCCCGACGAATCTCCATCACGGCGACCGATAATTTTTTTCCCTTGACATCAAAAACATCAAACCAATATGAAGTTGACAGGTGTCAAGTAAGATACGTCATAATCCAAATAACACTAGACCACTCGGCCAAGCTGTCATTACTGATTGTTGTTTATTGCTAATATTATACTAGTAACTATAAAAACCGTAGGATAATGTTATTGTTAATTCACGACAGAATTTAAATTTAGCTATGTCAACATAATTCACAAAACAAATTTGATATGTGCAATTTTGCTTAACTGTTTATCTCACAAAATTTAAACTTAAATAAACTTCTACAAAGAAAAAAAAAAAAGTGTTTTTCTAAAAGATGACCTATTCTTGCTGCTAGACTCAGATTTATTACAATTTATAAGATACACTATATAATTAACTAGAGTTGAACACTTAGCATAATGGATCGATTTGGGTCAGAATATAGATTTGTTTTATTTGTTCAGTTCAAAGAATTGTTACCCAAATAGACCCGATCTAAGTTTGGTACTGTTCGGATTGATTTTTTTTCTTTCGAATTAATACTGAAGTTTGATTTTAAATTCGGGTTTTCTGCCAACTTAATTACACCATAAATAATTATTGTATGTATAAATAGGAAATTAACTTTACAAGTAGAATGGACTTCCTCATTATGTTAACAAGATAACAAAAAAAAAAAAAACGACAGCATTTGATGAATTGTAAAGAAAGCAAACATTACAACCTCTTTATATGAAAATTATAAATTATTACATCTTGAGATTAGACAATAATTTATTTTAAGAAACAGTAATTCAAATTAGATTATACATACTTATTATTATGGCTTTGATTGGTGAACAAAAATAAAGCTGTACAGCTTTGTACAGCTTTGACAGTTACCAATCACAAAAACTTTATGAAAAGCGGTACACTATAACATAAACAGTTTTTTTTTGGACAAAAACAAAAACAAATTAAAACGGTTACGGTTAAATACGGTTATGGTTAAATACGGTTACGATTAAATACGGTTATAACGGTTACGGTTAAATACGGTTATAACGGTTACGGATAATTACGGTTATAGTTATTTAATGACTACAATACGGTTAATATCGGAGGCGAAATCTTACGAGTTACCTAACTTATTATAATACTTTTCATAAAATCAAAAAGTATGTTACAAACCAAATTTTCTTCATTTCGAGCAAAATAACAGTATAACATATTTGTTTGAGAAAAAGATTTTTTATAACGTAGATTTTTTCATATGCGGTATCATTTACTTTTTTGAAAATCTTAATCTGAACATTCGATAATTGTTTTTGCATTATATGGAGTTACAATTATATTTTTAAAGTTTTAACTATGCGGTTAACCATATGGTTAAATAACGGTTTTCATATGTTTACCGTTAATTAACGGTTACGGTTAATATATTTTTTAACTGTAACTAATTATTTTTTACGGTTAACGGTTACGGTTTTTAACCGTTTTATACGGTTACGGTTGAGAAACGGTCCGTAACCGTAACCGTATTTTGGATCGTAATTGGACCAAAAGCTAACCGTAACCGTATTTTGGATCGTAACTGAACCGTTTTTCAACCGTAACTGTATAAAACGGTTAAAAACCATAACCATTCACCGTAAAACTAGATTAGTTACGGTTAAAAAAAATATACTAACCGTAACCGTTAATATACCGGAAACGTATCAAAACCGTTATTTAACCGTACGATTAGCCGCACGGTTAACCGTATTATTAACCGCATAATTAAACTTTATAAAATATAATTGTAACTATGTATAATGCAAAAAAAAAAGTCTCGAATGTTCAGATAAAGATTTCCGAAAAAGTAAATAATACTGCCTATGAAAAAAATCTCATTAGAAATAATTGTTTTTTTCTCGAACAATTATTTTGGAATGTTATATTGCTCAAAATGAAGAAAATTTTTATTTATTATAGGACTAGTAAATTCATATTATTATTCTAACAATAAAATATTGTTCATTCTATATAATCTTAATTTTCATATGTAATTATATACTAAAGTACATTTCTATGTAATTTTTTTTCTTTCTAAATTCTTAATATTATTTATTATGTGTACCGCTATGATGTTTCCAATCAGAGTAAATTTTTAAAATTTGTTCTGCGTTATTTTTTTGTACAGCTTTCGTGTTTTATTCTTTTGTACAGCTTTGCACTATTCCCTAACAGCTAACAGCTCCAGCTAACCGCTCCAGCTAACAGCTAACAGCTTGTTACCAATCAGACCCTATATGTCAAATTAGAGATAAGGATCAGTAAGGGTACTCTCCGATCCAATTACCGGGTGCATCATAGTTACAACTCACGAAATACCAACCATCGTTGCATTGAACCCTAGCACACCCTATCTTCACAGAGTCACTCCACACCACTTGCGTGTAATGCAAGCATTGTTTCCCACCTGTAGTTTTCAAATTCAACAAGCTAATTAAGTCAAGTACTACTAATTAATTTCTCTAATCTAATACTACAATGAGTTGATAATTAAAAAATCTTGTGTTATTTTCTGTCATTTTAATCCGTTTATTAAACATAGAGCTATCGTGAAAATTATGTCCTACTGATTATTCTTGTGTCGATGGAGTCAGGAGTCAAGAGTCGAGAAATGAAAAAATGGCTTATGTTATATATGTTTGTGTGAGGCTTTTCTGAAACATATATTTTCAAGTTGTCCAAGATTTGGTAAACTGGAACAAGATAGTTTGGTTCAAATATGTCACTCTTTGTTATATTTTTATCGTTTGAGTTGCGATTAAAAATCAATTTTTTTATGAAATACTTTTTTTTGACAGAGAGTCGTAAGTAAAACAGTCTGTGCTTTGTGTAATTTTCGAATTAAATCAATCGATCGTTTGTTTTTCAACTGTTGCCTTGTCCGCCAAATTTAAATAGCTTTTTCTCTAACTTTTGAACTCAAAATTCATTTAATTCTTTGGCGGAAATAGTCCTCGTGTCAAGTTACAAACTATGCCTCTCTTTTTTTTTCGAACAACACAAACCATGCCTCTTAGATCTTAAAAATAGTACTTTAAGTTGTGCTCTATATAATATGGAGGGAAAAAACACACCCATATGTATTTACCTGAATTTCCTTTTTTTTAAGGTTGTAAAACATTATTGACCGTAACTATAAATAAAAGAAAAAAGAAAAAAAAAAACAGTTATTAACCAAACTCGGAACCGTCTCCTCGCAATCCTTGATGCCTAATGCCTATGATGGAACAAAACTATAACATTTTTACATTTCCTCCCACAACTTTTCTGAAATTTTATTTTGGTTTTGGATGTATGTACTTCGTTCTATTATTTCATGTAATGCTTGTTGATTTTACCTAGGTTTTGCCACTTAACCTTTTTCACATTCACCTTTAAAAGTTATTTTACAGGCTTACAGTTACAGCAATACAACATATTATATTTATACTAATGGTTCGACAATACCCTAATTTACTTAAAGCTTACTGCTTTGTCTTTTAACTTAAACAACAAAACCCAAAACACGTTTGGGCCTTAACCATTGACATGACTTTTTCACGTGAAATCACGTAACACGATCACCTCTTTCACCTAGAGATCGATAAACGATTGACATCCCATGGATCCCTAAGTATCTACTTCTTTACCTTTATATAATGTCCACTGAATTTTTTTTTTTTTTTTTTAAAGGACTGAAAAATAATTTTGAATAGATATTGGGTCATGTATATTTGTATTTGATTTGAAGATTCATGTATAATATCAGTGTTTACTTATTTATACATATGATCGCATGTGCATGGCCGTGATCCTCCGCCGGTTACAACGTTATTGGAGCCTTCATAGTGTTGTATGATTACTTTTTTGTTAGTGTGGTTAGATTATAACATACTATTTCCACTAGCCAATCTACATCCACTATCTAATATTTCTAATAAATAAAATAGATCGAGTGTAAAGAAGAAGACGTAATGTCCAAATATCTTCTACTTTTTTTTCATTTATTTTATAAAAAATATCTTTTACAATTGCAGGCCAATTGCGTTACGATGCAACTTTCAAACACCACAGAATTGGGACCTTCTCCTTCTGATCACCTTCGAAGCTTCACTCGATCCAAGGCAAACAGAAAACTGCTTCTACTGACTTGGCAGGCGTCGATCTATTGGTGTGGAGCGACGACAATCTTTTAAGAAACAAAAATGTTGGTCTAATGGTAACGTCTTTTTAGATGATTAAGGATGTTAGATAAAATTTTAAAATAATTTTCATGATTTTGCTTTATATATATTTCCATAAAAATCAATTAGAACATCATGGTTCCGGAAATGTTAAATTTTATTTTTTATTGATTTTTTTGTTAAAAAAGTGTATATATAATTTCTTTTTTGAAAAAATACTTGGTATATGCCTAGACTCAAATTTACATTAAATAAATTGTATATGCTATGCTCAAATTACAAGATGGCCAGTAGAGCTGGACATTTGGCATAATTGGATCGATTTGGGTCATAAATTTGGAATTTAGATTACTTCGGTTTAGAGGATTGTCACCGAAATTGGACCCATGTAAGTTTGGTACAGTTTGGGTTGACATTTCGAATTAAATTGAATTTAAAATTTCGGTATTGTAAGAAATACTGTGTGTTTCATTTATTTAGAAGAAGACATTACAACTGAATATATACACGAGGGGGAGGAGCCTGTAGGTTAAAGTAATCACAGAAGGTTCCTTAATCTATGCAATCATATAATTCTGATTTAAATGTGAATCAAATCAGATCCGTGGATGTATCTCCAATAGGTATATATATCTGCAAATTCGATTACAGTGTAGATTAAAATATCCTTATATGAGTAGGAACACACTTTCTCACTAAAGATAAACAAACAGGATCACAGTCGTTTCCCTCGGCATATTTGTTTACAAACCTGGACTATCTTTTTTGGAGGCAACCACCTCAGGCCCAAAGCGATTCCTATCCTTGGGTAATGTGGTTTATTTGGAAGGCTAGAAATGCCAAAATTTTTGAAAATATAGATGAGAATCCCCTAGAGGTGATTCGATTGGCAGACACAGAATCTCGGGCTTGGCAGCAAGCACAGGTGGAGGAGGAGGTTTCAATCTCGCCTTTTCTGGGTCATGGAAGGCGACGGATAGTTTTGCAGGTTATGGATGGGTTTGTACATCAAATAGTATGATGGTAACGATGGGAGCTTCCAACAGGCGACGAAGTCTATCTGCCCTGCACGCGGAGATGGAGGCATTGGTGTGGGCGATGAGATGTATGATTGGAGCTGGCAATCTACATGTGGCGTTTTTGACTGACTGCTCTGACCTGGTGAAGATGGTGTCTTCCCCAACAGATTGGCCGGCATTCGCAGTATACTTAGAAGACATTGCATCTGATAGGGAAGAATTCTTATCCTTCTCTTTATCTCTTATTCCACGAAGCGAGAATGTAAAAGCGGATCGTTTGACACGAAATGTTCGTACCATGCCGCACTATGTTACTTTTGTAAACAACATTCCGCCAAATTGGCTTTCCTAAGCTAATCTATATATGATGTTGACAAAAAAAAAAAAAAACAAACATTTGATTAACTGTAAAAGAAAGCAAACCTTACAACCTCTTTATGCGAAAATGATAGAATATAATATTACACGTCGAGATTACACGACATATTTTATTTTCTTAAGAAGAGGGAGGTAATCCAATTAAGAATTATTCATAGTTAATTAATATTATAGGTTATATTGGTGATCAGGATCAGTAAGGGTATACTCTCCGAGTACATTACCGATTGCATCATAGTTACAACTAACGAAATACCAACCATTGTTGCATGGAACTCTAGCACACCCTATCTTCACCGAGTTACTCCACACCACTTGCGTGTAATGTTTGCATTGTTGTCCACCTGTAGTTTTCAAATTCAACAACCTTAGCCAAATTTCAATTAATTATCACTTACACTGGATGCTTCGCGTTTACTATGTTACAAGTGAATGTTGTGTTTATTTTTAAATAAAACCATCATAATTTGTTGTTCACCGAACATATTTTCGAGTTATATATATGCAAAGAAAGAAGGAAAACATATGGAAGACATCATTGTAAAAAAAAAAAAACGAATATTTTATTTTCTTCTACATCTAACAAAAATAATATCTTCAATTTTTTAAAGAAAAAAAAAAATTGTAATGTAAAAACAATCGAGCTTAGTTAGTAATAGTTAGTAAAAATAATAGTTAGTAAATTAAATATTTGTACTATCGTAATATTTTTTTTTTATCTCTACACCATTTTTTCGCAGACAAAAAAAAAAAAAAAAAATCTCTACACCATTTTTCATTATACAAATTAGAATTCTTAACAAGAAATGAATGAACTCGAAATATATATAGAAAGTTATCTGTTTGTGTAAGTAATTAATACCTATGCAAGAATTGCTGGTGTGGTTGTAGTTAGGTTTCTCGGCGACCCAAGAAGCCACGGCCGATACGCCTGTGAAGATAGCACTACTTCCCCTAGCTAGGTTTTCTCCATATGGTCCTCCCGAGTTAGTAAGGCTTCAGTCGACTTTTCTAGAATTCGCATAGTTCAATGCGTAGGTCGCGACCGTTGTGTCCCACACGACGTTTGGTACTCCAACCTGCGCACGGGGGTGTTGTGAGTGTTAAGGTAGTCTTGTGGAGCGTTAATTTTGAGCATTGGTTGCAGTAACGAGAAAGCTAATCGCAACGATTAGGAGTGATGGGGTTTTGAAAGTTTTCATTATCGTGATGATTCTAGGAAGAGGGAGATATATTGTTTATGCTGTGAGTTTGAGTAACGCGTTGGTCTTATTTATATAGGCAAAATATGTACTTAGAGTTAGGGTCAGTGATTGATAGCAAACAATAAAAAAAGTTAGGGTCAGTGATTTTGGGAAACCTTGACTTTGGGGAATTGATGACTTCTCTTTTTATCACTAACTACTAACTAGCAATCTTAAGCGAGATGAAATGGTCTCAAAACTGAAATATAATAAGCAAAAGTATATAATAAAAATAGTACGTCAGTTCTAGAGAGAAAAGTGAGCGCAAATGAAGTATGTATGTAAAATGCGAACAAAAATTATTATAACTTAAGAGTTTTAAACTTTTAAATTGGTTTCCCTCAAAATAGCATCTTAATCTTAGGGAAAGTGGATTTACCAATTTTGGTTACAAAATGAAGTAAATCTGTAATCATCTTTATATTCATTGTCCATTGAAGAAAAAACTTGCAATGGGGAGATTTAATTAACAGTACAAGAAATCAATTGATTAAGGATGCACAAAACTCTTATTAATTGTCGTTAATCCTTTTTTAACGACATCTTCAAAATCGTGCACGGCAAATTTGCGTGGTTTTTTTTTTCCTGGATAGTTCATATATATTTGTATTTGCCTTGAAGATGTATATTATTTTTTGTTAATGAAAGATGTCTATTCTTAATATTAGTGTTTATCTAAATACATATGAAGGCATGCGTGCATGGCTGTGATCCTCCGCCGGTTACAACGTTAATGGGTCGACGGACAAACTCTATCCACTTGTACCAGTCTCCAACCACTATACAATTTCTTTAATAGATAAAAATAGATCGAGTGTTAAAAGAAGACGTAAAACCCTATTTTACAAATAAATAAAAAAAGAAAGAAGACGACGTAGATCATATACTATTAAAATACAAATAGTAGAGTATGGGCAGATGCCAAGTGGATGAAGCACAGGGTCAAAATAATTATATGCCCAATTTTGGTTAATCTTAGCGTAAAACCCACGCGTGATCATAAATTAATTAACCACGCGTGGGTTAAACGCTAGGGATGCATTACATCCGAGCAAGATCAGATACATTCGGATTCGTAAATCGTAATAAGTTAATTAACAACAAGATAAAACAACTCATAACGTATAGTTTAATGGTTAATCGATTCAACCTGATCACATTAAAAATAAACGATTTGACTCATATCATCGCAATTGCAATTATGGTTAACTACTGTATACACTTTGAATAACATCTTCAAATTTCTTTTTTTTCGTTTTTAAGAACTATAGCTTCGAGATCTCTTGATTACAAAAAAAAAAAAAAAGTTGACAGAGGCTATATATTATACATTTTTCAACCAAATATTCAAAACTAATCCACTTTATTATGGTTCTATTAGCAAAAATAAAACTTCTGATAAGTTTTTAGATGATTTTAATAATATTAGCCTAACATTTTAGGTGAATTCAAAATATTTGTTATGATCTCTCAACTAAACGATGACCAAGATTTTCTTATGGTGTATATATATCATTCGTGCCACACTTTCTTCCTACGTGGATCCGCCCCTGAGACAAACCAAATCGGCAAACAAACACAAACCAGTATGTATGTTTTTGTACTGGTTTATCATTTACGTATATACACATCAACAATATACGATAAGAAATATCTCACTTTCGTTATTGTCGCTGATGATGGGAGCAATTCTTCTACACTCGTTCATGTCGTACTATGCATAAGAGAATTTAAGAAAAGCAAGTACTACACGAAAATAGGTACGTCTATTTGCTAAAGTTGTATAATCACTATAGGTTTAATCAAAAAAAAAAACAAAAATTGTATATAAAATCTGAAGCTTTTCTTTTGTTATCTTAGGACTCAAGATTATGGTGCAGTACTTCTCGATTTTAATCTAGCATTGTAATTATCAAAAATCCAGCACTATGAAGTAACATAGCATTGTAATTATCAAAAATCCTATATTAAACCTCCTGAAATGATATAGCATTGTAATTACCAAAAATCCAGTAGAAACTAGGTTTAGCCTAGGAGGCAAAATGACAAAAGGTTATGGATATTATTACTTTGACAGATTTATTCCGTGCTCTTGTTTTTGTTTTGAATCATCTGCAGGCCATGTGTGATGCTGCAACACATACCAAAAGGTTATTTTCAAGACAGTGATCTATAATTCAGACTTCTTATTCAAAGAAGCTCACCTTTCCGCAGAGATTATAACCCTGTCGTCTTTCATCTCCATTTCTGAGGAGCTCATAAGCTGGTGTCGCCAAGCACAGTCAACCACTTCATCCGCACCTATTTAATCATAAAGATCTAGGTTAGACAAATAACCGTGCGCTAAAGAAAGAAAGACAGAAAAGGCAAAGGGAAAGATGCTCACTATCAGTCGAAAGGGATTGGTCTTTGATGCACACGGTTTCAAGGTCAGGGCATTCCAGACGGTGTCTGCTAAGGGCCTGCAAGAATCATTGAAAAAGACACAGGAAGTAAAACCAGCGACATTTAGATAGATATGGGATTTCATTGAAAGATGCTCACTGCACGGATGCTGGTTATATTAGCTTGAGCCTTCAAGATCTCTGTATCACGTTCGAGTTTCTTCTTCGAGCCCGACGGCCAAGCTCCGTCCTGTTATGTTTCAGAAGAAAAGAAAATTATATAAAACGCAACAAATGATTCCAGACAAGCAAAAAAAGAGGAAAGGCTCATACCTCAGGTAAACAGATGGTCACTTCTTTAGGAAATAACGTAGTGATTGGTCTCACTGGTTTAGGCAACCTTTCCGGCAGAATTTCTTTACCATCATCGTTCCTTTCCACCAGGAACATTTTATCACGACAGATATCCTGCAGATGACATGAAAAATAACTCCCAACGTATCAAAGAGAAGTATATATATTTTCGCATATGCATACATATATATATATGCAGTATCGCCAGTTACAAGTTATCAGGGAAAATAAACTTGAAAACTAGAAAAATGGATATTATTAAATAAGAGTTGGATTAGCATACTGGATATGCAAGACACAGCAAGACACTGGAAAACATATATGAGGCTCCAGGTTGGGACTGAAAATGAAATATAAAAAGAAAAAGTCAGAATAACCATTTTGAGAAGAATACAAGAATAATTAAGACAGACTATGCATATATAAAATAATAGAATTCCTACTTTCTCCTCTGGGCTGTCTAATTGGGTTTGTGAGGCTATGACAACAGTATTCTCCGGTAAATTCTCAAGCTTGCTCTTCAAAGTAAAATACAGTTCAGTGTTCCCCAATTCAGATTTCCCAATGTCTTTCAGCATCAATATCAATGAACTTGTTTCACTTTCATTAGAAACCACCTACGGTATCATACACAGAGGTTAAAGGGTTACAGAGACTAAGTAGTATTTTTCAAATTAAATAAAAAGGTAACAAAAAGTGGTAAAAATTACCTCAAAGATTTCATTAATGGCAAGTTTATCTGCATCGTCATTGGAAGAACTGTCATTGGAAGAACTATCTAAGCGAAGTGAACTCGCTGCACAAAAGAAACCATGGTCTTTTTCACATAGACCACCTAAGTCATTGCCATCAGCTATCGGCCTATCAAATCTAACCCCGAGTTTTGAAGATTCATTGTCTTCAAATGCAAGGATTACTTTTCCCTTGAAACCTAAAGTCGGTCCCCTTAAAAAGAAATAAAACCGTCTTCTCTTAACAACAATCTACATCAGCTGAAAATTTGAGAAGAAAAACAGTAAACCATACCTAAGTTTTGCAAGACGGAAAGAAGCAAATGCAGTACGTGAAAAGACGAACTCCACTCGATCACCTAAGAATAACATAAGAATTACATAAGTGTCTGTTCAATAAAACAGAAAGTGGCACAAAAACTAAACTGAACAAATAATACATAAGCAACCATACCTGTTTTAAAGGTGTAACTTTTAGAGGTTGTGGTTGAAGTTGGAGCAGCCTGTTCAGCTCCACGGCTATCACTTTCTTTGGTCGAATCTGCTTCCTTGGATGTTGATCCCTGAAGCCATCCATAAAAAGTGGAGAATCAGTGTTAGTAGATTTCCGGGACAGGTATATTTTCTGAGGCATTTGGAACCAATATTCAAGAGTTCCAATTTTCACGATTCAAAATCAGAAAAGAAAAGTTGATACGAATATTGAGAAAGGCTAAGTGGAAGTTTACCCCAGGTAATAAGAGTGTGTCAACAATCATCAATTTGGCCCCATAATGTTTCGCAAGCGCTTTTGCTAAGACTTCCCGATATATCTCAGAGCCTTAAGATATACCATATGAAATTTTTGTTAGGAAAATGGATAAGAGAAACAAAATAATTATAAACAATAATTGTCCAGAGTTTTCTTCATACCAGCTGGTCCAGAGAGCAGGATACGGGGACATATTGTCGACAGCTTTGGTCCATAATTTGCAAACTTGCCTCCAAACTTCAGACGGGCAAATGTTGATGTTATCAAATCATCCTTAGTTGTGTCACTGTGACAATCAATTCAGGGAGTTGTTTATCAAGACTTGGAAGACCACAATAAGTGTTGTCCATCCATCTTATCATAGTTTGTGTGACAGAGATTCGATAAAAAAAAAGAGGTTCTAACCACAACCGACCTTAAGAAATATGGGAAGTTCTCAAAAGAAAATTCTATGTCCTGAGGATTGAGTACGCTTGCTCGCAAAGAATCCGTATGTGCTTGGCGTCTAGAGGATTCATGAACAGATGAAGCAGAAAGATTTTCATATTTCAGAGGCTGAAATATCTGAAGACTAAGTCAAGGAAACAAAAAAAAAATATAGCAACAATATCATAGATTGATAGATAGATAGATAGGAGGAAACAATAATATGATCCCCTCATTACAGAAAGGCTCTTAAAAGGATACATAAGCATGTTTCCAAGGGGTGCTGAAGACAACCTCATCGCCACCCTGCAGATCAACACAAGTATCCTTTAGGTAAGGCTTGCGATTGACCACAACAGGACCAACTCCACTCCCTTTTATCTGAAGGGTGGGAACTGAAGGACCTCCGTCTCGGTGCTGCCAAGGAAAAAAAAAAAAGTAAAAGAGCTTTGTGTCCTTTGGGAAAGTAGAAAACTTAACATAACAGATTCATACCTTCATCAGCGTCAGTTCACACAGAACGCCGGGGATGATGAATAGATCTGGGATAAGTAAATCGCATTCATGGCTTCCAACAGTAAACACAGCGCTTGTGATGACACAATGAGGTCTCTGAAATGGCAAACAATATTCTCCCTAGATCAACTAATGTGCATTGTCAGCTAAATGCTCTCCTAGGCAAAGAGCATATGAAAGCAGTCACACATACCTCTGGATACTGAGAAATAAGCTTAGCCCAAGGAAACTTAGGTTCAGCCACAACTTGACCTGATCCAAGAACTAAAACATGCATATGAGGAAATAGATAAAAAAAAAAATGATTCATGAATAAAAGAATCATAAAAGAGTGAAGATGCAAAACCTGCGGGGGTATGATTATTGATCACCAAGCCATTGGCTCCTTTGGTAGGATTCAGTTGCCGTGAAGTTTCAGTAGAATCACGTACCCGCTTTGATGAATTCCTCGTTTCCATGTCTAGAACGAATCTGATAACCCAGAGTTATCAAGAGGAGCAAGAACGTAGAGAAGAGATGAACAGAACAGGGAGAAGAGAGAAGGCGGCGGCAGACTGAGGAAAGAGATTTGGATAATGTTGTTTTTGCCCTAGGTGGGACTTGAGAGTATTTATTTGTACCGAGTGGGAAGAAGTAAAGAGACAGGACCGGTTCGAATTGATCAAAATCAAAGAGTCAAACTTTTCCGGAGCAGTTTGGTCGCGTCCACAGGCCGCAGGGAACGAGACGTGGAAAACTTTCCGCCGTTTGTTTCCGGGAATACACCCCTCTGTACAAACTGCTGAAGGGATATCATAGCGGCTTGATCAGATGATAGCTCGCTGGTATTATGACGTTGAGGTGGATATGACAGCGGTTTTGTTCTTGGACAGACCGCGCCGCACGAACCGCTGCACCAAAAGAAAAAGTCATCGCTTTCGGGGACGTCACAACGGCTCGATCAACAAGGCCGTGGAGTTACTCATGCAATCCGGTCAAGAAGACATTAGCACCAAACTGGCACGCTCAGCCTTTTGGATCAAGTGGACACAAAATGGTCCTTGAGCCAACTGCTGCATTCAGAAACTTGTTCACATTCATCCGATTTCAAGGCAAGGAAAACATTTAATATAATTAGCCAGTTTGAAGCATGCGAGTACTCGGGTCAAGAGGAGAAATGGAAGAGCTCGATTGTGTTGGCTACAACAACAGCTCACAGAGCTAAAGTTGCAGCCTTGGAGAAAGGAAGGCTCCATGAGAATCCGGTTTGGCATATTGATGTCTGAGTTTGGTAGGGAAGATGCAATCTGTGCATAGTAATGCTTATAACAAGACTCGAGCCTTGAAATCAAACTAACCCCTTTTGTTTAGCAGCTCACATATTAGGAGTTTGATTACACGATTGGTTTATTTCAGTTTCGTTTGTCTCTTTTTCTTTTGTCACCTTCAATATTTTTGAGTAAGGTGATGGGATTGATTTGCAAAAACGGTGGCAGCAAGAGAAGGAGAATTGCTGCTTAAATGTTGAATTTTGTCTCATCTTTATTCTCTTAACATTTCAATCTATGAAAAGTTAATTGTTAGCAAGTGGATTTCTCTATCTTCTTTCAACTTTCTTTGGTTTTGAACCCAACTAAACCGACCCAAGTTGTTTGATTGTGAATCATATGGATTCAATGTTGTGGAAGACATGAAGATGTGATAGAAAGGAAGTGGAGACATTCTTTAAATGTATTTATTGTTAATTTTAGTGGGTTAGAGAGTGAGGTGTGTTAGGTACCAATTGAGAAAGTGATGGTTAGGAACAAATAAAATGGGAATTTATGAAAGGAATTGAAGATGAAGATTATGAATTTATGAACATAGGGGTACTTTACAAAAAGTACTTCAATTTTAATAATATAGATGTTTGATTTAATTCAGTTATTTAATTAAACCGTTTACTTGTATTATCGATATTTTCCAATTTTACAAAAAGTTTAAAATATTATGAATTATGAATATTTAAACTGAAAAAACGTTTAAATCCTTTCTTCGTTTTGTTACCTCCTTGTTTCTACAGAGGAGCTCATGACTTTAGCAAATTGCAGATGGAGTTTTATGAAGTCAGATGAGGCAATTAAAAAGCAGGAGTTTGCAGATACTCTTCCAAGAGCATCTATTCAAGACTTAGGAATGATTTTGATGGGTGATGGATATGAGGTTATGATTACTTCTCTCTTTTTCAACTTCTTGTAAATGTGTCTATGAGGTTTGTCTTTGGTCTAGTAGTAGTAATTTTTCAGTTTGTTTGTTTTGCAGGTATTTATGAAGGGTCCTTCATTGTATGCTTTTAAGGGTTTGGCTGGTCGATTTGCGCCTATAGGAGTACATATATCAATGCTTCTGATTATGGTTGGTGGAACCCTTAGTGCCACTGGGAGCTTTAGAGGCTCGGTCACAGTTCCTCAAGGGCTAAATTTTGTCATGGGAGATGTCTTGGCCCCAGTTGGGTTTCTCTCAATTCCAACAGATGCTTTTAATACGGAAGTTCATGTTAATAGATTCACCATGGATTATTATGACAGTGGAGAAGTGAGTCTTTTGTTTTGCTTTCTCTGCCCTCTCATTGTGTCTTCATGATTGAAATGTTTGTCTGATTTTTCTTTTTCGATTTGGTGTAGGTCTCACGACTCACAGTTTCACTCTGATCTTTCACTACGTGACCTTAATGGGAAAGAGGTTCTGAGAAAAACAATTAGCGTTAATGATCCCTTGAGATACGGTGGGGTCACCGTATACCAGACAGATTGGAGTTTCTCAGCCTTGCAGGTGACAAAGGATGGTGAGGGACCATTCAACTTGGCTATGGCACCCATTAAGATCAATGGAGACAAGAAGTTATATGGGACTTTCTTACCAGTTGGTGATACCAATGCTCCCAATGTCAAAGGAATGTAAGAACCCTCTTACCATTAAAGAACCACTCTTTACAAATAAGCCAATGAAGAGATGGAACGTTTTCTCGGATTCTTGACATCGATTTACATTATTGTTTCTTGTATAGGCCTTAACTTTGCTTCAGTTGAATTTTTTTTCAGATCGATGCTAGCTCGGGATCTACAATCCATTGTTGTGTACGATTTGGACGGAAAATTCGCTGGAATAAGGAGACCAAACTCAAAGCTTCCCATAGAAATCAATGGTATGAAGATCGTTATCGAGGATGCAATTGGAAGCACTGGTCTTGAGTTAAAGGTAAAAAGACTTTTTGAAATGTCACCGGCACACACAAAAAGGAGAGATCCTAGTTTGTAATATAATATGACATCTTTGTTCTTGGTCTTGTTTCGAAGACTGACCCAGGAGTACCAGTGGTCTATGCTGGTTTTGGTGCTCTAATGCTCACAACTTGTATCAGTTACTTATCTCATTCGCAGGTAAAAGTAACTCTCAAAATCAATATCTGTTTTATAACTCTCAAAAAGTCTTGTTTTATACCAATGTGTCACATTGGCATTTGGGTCTACTAGATTTTTGTCTTTCATCATCTAACTCTGTTTTCTCTTTGATATTCAATCTCTTATGTTTTGTCTGAAACATCATATAAAGATATGGGCACTACAAAATGGAACAACATTGGTCGTAGGGGGGAAGAACAAACAGAGCCAAGAACCAGTTCCCTGATGACATGAATCGATTGCTCGATCAAGTTCCGGAGCTAATCAAAAAGAATACTTCAGTTGTCTCCGAGCAATCTTGATTAGCTCTTCGACTCTGATACATTTCAAGTCAGAACCAATAGAGTTGTACAGAATTATGGAAAAGGTATAGTATTCAAGAACGCAATAAACATGTTGCTGATCATATGGAAAAAGAGAGGGGAGCTATAGAAACTGAAACTTCAGAATTGATTTGCATGGAGGTCAGGTCTTGTTCTGAGTTACACAGTGAAGTTAGAATATAGATGGTGAATACTATTTTTGTCTTGTGGGTAGGTTTTGTCGTTTGTCAAGTTAAATGATCTGAATGTATCTCTAACTACAATTCCCCTGTATTATGTAGTCCTCTGTATGAATCGTTTTCTCTATTAATAAAATTCAATTGCAGTCAATAAAATAATAAAGTAGTGTTATCTTTGGGTTTAGAAAATGCCAAACCGACAACAAAGTCAAGATTGTCTTCTGGTCTTTTGTCCCAAATTGCTCATCAAATTCAAGATTCTCTGAAATCAGTAGCAACTAGCAACAATGGAGAAGCCAATGTTCAAGAGTCAAGACTGTCCAAGAGGTGATTGCAGCTGGCGAAGGACTACCGGAGAGATATCTCCATGAACCAACCGGCGAAGGCGAAAGTCAACCACTTAACTGTTCGGTGCCAGATATGGATATTCCGGCCATCGATCTCAGTCTTCTCTTCTCTTCTTCTGAAGAGGGTCGAGAAGAGTTGAGTAAACTTCACTCAGCGCTCTCTACATGGGGCGTTGTTCAGGTTGATCCTCTCTTTAGTAAATAGTAATGATCAGAGTCTGTACAAGTTCTTATAGAAGTAAGCAGGTGATGAATCATGGAATTACTGAAGCGTTTCTTGACAAGATTTACAAGCTAACCAAGCAGTTCTTTGCGCTTCCGACCGAAGACAAACAAAAGTGCGCTAGAGAGACAGGTAATATCCAAGGATATGGAAACGATATGATTCTGTCTGATAATCAAGTTCTTGATTGGATCGACCGTTTGTTTCTCACTACTTACCCTGAAGATAAGCGTCAACTTCAGTTCTGGCCTCAAGTCCCAGTCGGATTCAGGTAATAAAATACATACCTTGGTTCATCATTGACTGTGGTGGTTTTGACAATAGTTCTTTCTTTCTTCAGTGAAACTTTACATGAATACACAATGAAGCAACGGGTAGTGATTGAGAAATTCTTTAAGGCTATGGCTAGATCATTGGAATTGGAAGAGAATTGTTTTCTAAAGATGTATGGAGAAAATGCTATAATGAATTCAAGATTCAACTTCTTTCCTCCATGTCCAAGGCCAGATAAGGTTATTGGGATTAAACCGCACGCTGATGGCTCGGCTATCACTCTTCTTTTACCCGACAAAGATGTCGAAGGACTTCAGTTTCTCAAAGATGGGAAGTGGTATAAAGCTCCAATAGTTCCTGATACAATTCTGATCAATTTAGGAGATCAAATGGAGGTAAGTTAATCATGTAGATATTGCATATCATTTTGAAAGATTGGTTGGTATAGGTTTGACATAATCTCTCGCTCGCGTGTGTTCAGATAATGAGCAACGGGATATACAAGAGCCCGGTTCATCGAGTGGTGACGAACAGAGAAAATGAAAGGATTTCTGTGGCAACGTTTTGTGTTCCAGGTCCAGACAAAGAGATTCAGCCTGCGGATGGGCTTGTGACTGAGGCAAGACCAAGATTGTATAAAACAGTTACCAAGTATGTGGAGCTCTACTACAAGTACTATCAACAGGGTCGAAGAACTATTGAAGCTGCATTGATCTGATACTACTTTTCATGTTTCACAAATAGATCTGTTTGTTTGTTGGAACTTTGGAATTTGAGGCTGCATTGTGTTGTGTTACAATTCTGAGACAATAAAGAGAGAGAGTCTAAAATCTTAAGAGTAAAATTTCCCATATCAATTGCTATTTGAAACGCATTAAGCCAAACCTACATATATATCGAATTTCATTCGGCTCTTACTCCTAATTAACTTCCTTCGTAGTTGTACCCACTATGTGTCTATAAATTTGGTATCATAACCAAATTCTCTTAAAACTCTTTCTCACTCACTTAGCTTGGATCACCAAGCTTAGATATTTATATCACAAAGCTTAGGTAATATTATCTACAATATTTTTTTAATGTTTTATCAACTTATTTTAGAACCACAACTTTAATCAAAACTCATTTACAATACTCGAACCAAACTCATTTTAGTCAATCTAATATAGTTGTTGCCAAAAAAAAAAAGAACCAAACCTAACTTTGACCTACCTGAACTGTACCGATTAATTGTTTAAATTCGCTCTCCATTCTTCCAATACCCGAATTACCTGAAATCTGAACTGAGTTGAACCGAACTTCTGAATGCTCAGATCTAATAAGAATTCTTATAGTGAAGATGCTTGAATTAGTTTTTGAGAAGGCAAAAGAGAACCAAAAAAAAACTTTTTGGCCAAAAAAAACAAAAAAAAAGTTTGTGACTATTTTAAAACCGAGGGCATTTACGTCAATTAGTTAGTTAAGTTGGGCTTTGTGTGAGATTCTTAAAAAGCCCATCTTTACGAAATCGAAAGAGCCAGCGAAAAACCCTAGACCTCGAAACATTTCACTCTTCTTCTCTTCCACCATCTCAGATTCTCAGGCGAAGATTTTGTTCACATTTTCCGGTGATCTACTCGTGCCCGTCCAAATTTCAGTAATTCCTTTTGCGAAGACTTTGTTGATCGGAAAAAAAAAATGAAGCCAGTGATAGGCACAGTGGTATCGAACAAGATGCAGAAATCGGTAGTCGTCGCCGTCGATAGACTCTTCCACAACAAACTATACAATCGCTACGTCAAACGAACTTCCAAATTCATGGCTCACGACGACAAAGACGCCTGCAACATCGGCGATCGAGTAAATTCTCTCGCATTTCCTTCTTCTCTATCACTCTAATTTCGTTTGATTTCGTGTTTTAATTCTATTTCAGCTATTGAAATGTTTGAACTCATCCACTTGAAAATAGGCTTTGTGATTGTCTGATTGAACTTGAGGCTAAGAGATTTGAAAATTTGGTTATGTGTAGGTGAAGTTAGATCCATCAAGGCCATTGAGCAAGAATAAGCATTGGATTGTTGCTGAAATTATCAAAAAAGCTCGAATCTATTCTCCTGAAGCTGCTGCTGCTGCTGTTGCTGCTTCTTCTGCTTCCTCTGCATCCATTGCTGACTCTTCTGCTCAGTCTCAGATTCCTCCATCATCTACTTCTTAAGGTGATTGACATTGATATTTAGTGACATTTTACGGGTTTTAGTGAGGCGCAAGATTATAAGTTTTGCTGTGTGACAATATGCATCTTGTGATTAGATACTTAAACGTTATAACAGTTTACGATTATGGAATTGATAGACTTATCATCCCTTTTTCTTCTTACTGCAGTTTTGTTATGAGAAACGTTGCATAGAGAAGCGAAAACATGTCTGTGAGACAAGCTAGGAGTTGTTACGATGATCATATTGCATTGAAGTTTATGCCTTTGGATCATGTCTGTGATATTTTGATTTCCTGAGATGATTATGAGTTATATGATGGTAATAGATTATCTGGTGAAAGTTGATGAATAACACCTCCTGTTGAGAAACTCTTGTCTTCTTATGTTATTTTGGCAAATCATCACTGTATTGCCGTTTAAGCAGAAGTGTGAGATAGTGATAAGTTGTTATTACATTCGTTATTTTGGGTATGGAACAATGAGTGAAAAATGCATCTTTGGCTCTATAAATGGTGGCAAACTAAAGATCAGTACCAACACAGAACTCCTCCAATGTGATTTGGCCAAGTCAACAAATTGTAACATCAGTTTTTCACTGTCAATTATATGAATCTTTCTTTTAGTTAGATATCTATCAAGTTACAAGGATTTGAGTTTTTAGAGATAATTTTGTGTTTGCTACCTATCTATTTATGTTTTGTTTAGATCAGAGAAGGAAGTAACCAGAGATTGAAGAGAGAAGAAGAGAGAGACAAGAACCAAGTCAAGAAGGCCAATGTTGCTGCAAACTGATATCTGTTGCATATTGTTGGAGGGCAAGAGGATTCGTTTGATCGCAGAATATCAACAACACTAGCTGCGGATGAAGCTGAAGCCAACACTAGAACAGACACCACCTGCGAAACCAAAAATGGTGAATTTGGATTGAAAACTCGGTTTTTTTTTTCCTTTCGAAGTAAGCGTTAGATATAGAATTGCGTTACCCAATCACCAATAGAGATAGCGAGAAGGATCCGTGGCTTTTGAAACGGTTGCTGGAGAATAACACAGTAGATATCTACCATTGCTAACGTCAGATTCCATGGTATAGCTAAAGACATGATCGTCACCAAGTAGCTGCAGATTTGTAGATAAGATTTTTAGGGTTGATAAGAGAATATAGAATCTGGAATTAGGAGTTATTTACCAGAAAGCAGTGAATTGGTAGAAGCGAACACCGATGGTCATGAAGAGAAGAGAGCCAAATGCTAATACCGTTTGCCCTAACCTTAAGGAAAGGCTTGCAGTTGTGCCTACAGAGCCAGGAACCTCCACCATCACCACCTTTGCTTGTATGGCACGTAAGTTAGTGGTTGAATCTAATACTCGATAAAGATGGAAACTTTTGACATTGGTCTGGAAAATCTTGTGGATTTCTCAATTAAATCGTCAGGGTTTTCGTTATCTGGAGAGGACAAAAAGATCACGATCATGATCATGACGAAGGAGGAATAAAAGAAAGACAAGTTGAGAGTGTTTCTGGTTCGCACGTTGTTTGTGAGTGTTACGAATGGTGGAAAAGAGAAGACTGTTCATGTTGAAAGAGTTGTGGTCTGTATTCATCAGACAAAGCAGAGCAATTGTCGGAGAAAACTGTTTTGCAAAACACTTTTATTCCTTCCTTCTCCTTCTCCACTTCCTAATCTCTCCCCTTTTTCTTATTTTATAGCATTTAGTTTTCTCTTATATAAATAAAGTCGATTGCTTTTTGAGAAAATTTTAAGATATCAACTTAGAAATGTACCGAATTTACTAAATTCATTAAAACTTGTGACGATTGAAACGCTCCAAAAAGACCAAAACGGATCTGAGAAGCTTTGCAAATTCAAAAGAATATTGAGCAGAATTTGATCTGCAATAGCCGAAGGTTATTTGCTGGAAATTGGAGGAGAACGTTGGTGAGAAGAACATAAAACAAAAACAACTGCCAAAAGTACACCACTATATAACTAAATGTCTCATGATTTCGTTATCTCAGGTCATAGAGTAAGAAGATTGCAAAAACAAACACAATATCTTCCATTGCTTCATGCTGCATCTATCTCACCGCTTCAACCCTGCAGGAGATGAAAGAAGATAGCGGCTTAGCAAACAATCTCGATATGGCTGAGAACTGGGGACTCCATAACGTAGAGATCACACACATTGTTTATATGACTTTGACTATTTGACAAACATTTCAAAACACATTCGAAACTACACACAATCTTGTTCTAACATGTTCATAGTATTGTAGATTAACATCAAGGTTCCTTTAAGAAGACTGTCTCTCACGCCAACACAAAAGGAGCAAACAAGCTTTCGCCTAAGCATAGTGAATACTCAACAATCCCTAAATCTCCATGGGATACATCGCTATCTAAGATAACTTCATACACCGATATATATATTATCATATCAATAAGTAAGCCTAAAGGCATAAGCTGAAACATATAATGCTTTTATGATTGTGAACTCATTCTCATGAACAAGCCTTGAAACTTAGTTAAGAACAGACCAGAGAGATCTTAGTACGGCAGAGAAATAAGGAATCTAAGTGTAAAATACAAACATTATTAAATTGGCTTGAAATTTTTTAACAAAGCTTTCACAATCGTGTTCTAACATGTTCATAATACTGAAGATTAACACAAAATCAGGTTTTCCTAAGCATAGTCAAATTAATACTCAACAATCTCTAAATCTAGATGGGACACATGGATATATCATGCTTCCTCATACACATATCAATAAGTGAGCCATAAGGGCATAAGCTGAAGCATATCATGAACAAGCATACTCTAATGAACAGGCCTTAAAATCTAATAAAGAAGAGAGAAAGAGAATGATGACCCAAAAGAAGCAAACATCAAAAAGACCAAAAATTTCCAGTTTCTATACTTGTGATCAAACTCAATCAAGTACCATAACTCGATCCTAAGAGTATTTAAGTTTAAATCAGAATCTGCAAAGCTAAATCATAACCCAAGGAAGACAAAATTGACAGAATCAAATTAACAGACCTGAAAATTCAAAGAGCCTTAGAACTCGATCTTGAGCTCATCTTTGGAATCGGAGAAATAGGAGAGGACGTAGGGAACAGCACGGACAATGACAACCCAGCCGCCAAAAAGAGCCACATGGGTCCGTAGCTGCTTCAGAGCCACGGCTTTGTCTGGCTTTCGCATGAACATTCCTGGAAACATGGCTGCGATCTTGATCTTCTTCTTCTTCTTCTTCTCTGCTGTGCTGTGAGATTGATTCTTTAAAGATTCTAAAACCCTAACCCTCGATTGATTTTGCCGTCTCCTTTTTCCACAATATAAGTTTTTTAGATGTGGGCCGAGTTTTGATATGGGCCGTTAACAAAGCCTTTTATATTAATTGATGATACACGAAGCCTTTTGTCGGCCGAGTAAACCGGTTTGAACATTTAAACCGATAAATTTTGATTTACCCATATATTGAAAGTTCGATTTTTGAACGTCTTATCCCGATTTTTTGAACCTTGAGTGCTTATAGCAGTTGAACTTGGATACAGTAAAACCTCTATAAATTAATATTGTTGGGACCATAATATTTTATTAATTTATAGTGATATTAATTTATAAAGAGATATGTCTTATTTCTTAAAATTTTAGAAATAAATGAATTTATAAATTTTGTGGTTTTGGACTTGAAATTTTAATAGTTTGAAAAAAAAAAATTTCGAAAATATATTAGACAAGAAAATTACAAAGACTATAGATGAATTTATTTATACAAACGATATACATAAATTCAAATTTATGATTAATGATCTCAATTATCGTATTTTAACAGCTATAAGACTATCGTAATGAAAATGATGCATATTATAAAATTAAAAATATACAGAAAATCTTGACTATTTTATGATACAGTGATAGAGTATACTATACCACTATAATTTAAAACCACAATAGACCAATTGTTTTATTCAATAAAAGTTAGAGATATCACATAACTTCTAACGAAAATTCAATTTAATAAAAAACAACTAAAAACATATCTTAGTATAACAACTTATATATATATATATATATATATATATTACATGATTATTAATTTAGCATATTAATGGGACCATATATTTACATAGAGATTCTAAAAAAGTTATTATCTTATTATCTTATCGAATTTTATCAAATTCTACATTGGCCCGATTTGGGACCGGACAATTTTATTAATTTATAGTGTTTATTAATTTATCGAGTATTAATTTATAGAGGTTCTACATATGATTTAAGTGCTAATTAAAAAAAAAAGTTAGATGAGATATAATTAGACAAGCATCGTTTATAAATGTATATATATAGTATATTGGACCCGGATATATATAACTCTGAATCATGAAATAAAGATTATAGTTATAGTCACTACGAAAGTGTGTTTTTAATTAGAAATTGTTCCAAGCTAAGAAAAGTAAACTAATTTTGTAGAATAGAAAAACTGAGATAATGTAATGGTAACGTTCACAACTTCACATGATGGAGCACGACGATTCCTCTTGGTAATGTGATCTGCCACCATATCCATATTGCAATGGTGGTGGTTGCCAACTTCCATAACTATCGGAAATGGGCCTTTCATCATATCCATTGGGTCGGGACCATCCGTAGTTAGGCCCATCAGACCAAGGCACCGGCTGGCCCATCATCGACGGGGGATTATACCCATGTATCACGCGTTGAGAATTTGGATCGGCTTGAGCTGGAGCTGGTGCTGGTTTGGGCTTCTCTGCTTCTTTGGGCTTTTCAGCTTCCTTGGACTTCTCAGGTTCTTTGGGCTTTTGGGCCGCAGGTTTGGGCGGATCGATGGTTTCGATGAGCTTAATAGCTCCACGTCCTTTGGAACAGAGTTTGTCCATGACTTTCTCAGGACTGCAGCAAACCACTTTGATTGTCACTGTGTTGTTTTCTTCATCAAACTTTTGGTCTCTTACTTCTGTTGTTTTCCCAAAGCAATCAAAGAAACAAAAACACACAAATTAATGAATTTTTCAAACAAAGTATTCAATGAAAAACCAAAAAAGAGAGAGTGAGTTTAACAAACAAAAAATACATACGAGGTAAGCTGCAAAGAGCATTCTTGACTTTTGAGAGATTCTTTTCGGAATTAAGAGGCGCCGTCTTCAATTTCATCCATGTTACCTGTTTTATAATCATCATATAATCTTCTCATTATTTTTTATACAACTTTTGTGACTAACTGACTATTAGTAGTAACGATTTTTGTTATTAAGTGCTAAAGGTTTTAAAGAGGAGTACACAAAAAAAGAGAAGAGAGCGTTTACCTTCTCCTTACCCTTCTCCATGGCTTTGAAAAGAGAAAAAGATTTCATTGTAATTCCTTATCTTTACCTTGTATATTACTATGCTATATATTTGGAGTTTCACGAGAGGGTTTCCAATAAATAAGAAGTTAAATATTGTACAATTTACTTTTCTCTTAGAATGTATCATTTCCATAGCTATTAATTACATATTACATTGTCCTAAACAATGTAAATTTTTTTTTTTTTTTATGTTTAACGTTTTTCCTTTCTTTTCAAACAAAAGAAAATGGACTACAAATTTGATAGAAGAAAAATGTGAATCGAATAACTCTAGTCGTTTATTCCATAAATAGATTTCATATAGCTAATAGATTGTACGCATGTTGCTATATGCTAAACACTAAACAGAATAAGAAAACATATTTTCAGAATATAATAGGTCTTAGAAAAATAGTTTATTTCTATTTTCATTTGATGAAATTACATATATGACTATGGTTCAAATTGAAAAAAAATTATTAATAATTTGATAACAATTAAATGATAAAATTTATTAAAATCAAATGGACTGGCCTTATAATAATATAGTGAGCATGTCGGAGACTCAGAGAGAGACCTTTTCTCGCTCGTCCATTTAAATTCATTAAAGAGAAAATCTGTAGAGTTGACACTTTTAAAAGGCTATTTATTAGGGCTATATACGTAATGGACATTATAGTCGTAGATACGTAATTTGGTTTGAAAATAAATACCAAAATCTAGCTAAGTTGATATCAATATGGATAAAAGATAGGAGTACCTTTTTGTTGTTGATTTAATACCGATTTGATTTAAGTGACACAGTAGATCTTAATTAAATGGTTAGCCTCTTTCTCTCATCCGAAAGTTGAATTTTAATAAGTGATAAAGATCCTGATTATGACACTGATTGTGAGCTAGTGAGGTCTAACTAAGAGTACAAAAAAAAAATGACACGAAAGTTATCAAACTATAAACTATGGCCCTGTTCTTTTCGTTATCGCGCGATTCTTGCGGCGACCAACAAAAAATGCCTTGTTTTTTAGTTTTATTTTCACCCAGCGACTGAACATCTCGTGAAAAGCAAGAAAAAGTGACGCCGGTGTTGGTTTACTCAGTCGCTGAAAAAACAAGCGACACCGGCGACTACAAATATCACGAACAAAAATTGCAGTGACAGGGAAAGAGAAAGAAACCAGCGACTAGGAAAGAGAAAGAAAGCAACAACATCAGTGTAATTTTGTGTCGCTGGAAAGTGTCGCGCGACATCCTAAAGAACACGCCCTATATAATTCAAACTATATATTTTGTTAAATCCAATAATCATTAACCAAATTGCATGCAAATAATCAGTTTTAAAATTGTCTACGTTTGGTGTAATTACTCTTTACTCTTTAAGGTTCTTCACAATATTTATTCAAACCCACTAAATCTACTTGCATATAAAACATTTAGATAACAAACAAAAGAAAGAGAGGCTCGTAATAAAGGCGCAATTAAAAACCGGTCAGAAATACACCAATTGTGAGACTCAAGAAGTTATTGCTCAACCACTTCCTCTAACTCATAACCACAATCTCCAAACTTCACCACCGATTCACAGAGACTTTTATTAACCTTCAAAATATTATTTAATATCCAATCTTCAAATAGAGACACTCTCACTCCTTATCTTTCTCATCCTCCATCCCAATTTCTTCTTCATTAAAGTGTTATTCCTCATTTTATCACACAAAATGGCTTCAGCGGTGGATCATGTGTTGTTGGTGGAAGAAGGAAGGCCAGCCACGGCGGAACATCCATCCGCCGGACCGGTTTATCGATGTAAATACGCTAAAGATGGCCTCCTCGATCTTCCTACCGATATTGATTCTCCTTGGCAGTTCTTTAGGTATGGATCTTGAGACCCTTTACATTTATTATTCTTTAAAATTAATTGTTTGTTCAATGCTGATTAATTTTAGCTAATTATAACAATTCTTGTAGTATAAGATATGTATTAGTTTGATATAATAGACTTGTCTCACTCTTCTCGGTGTATACTTATTTCAGTGAGGCTGTGAAGAAATATCCGAATGAGCAAATGTTGGGCCGACGCTTAACGACTGATTCTAAGGTACATATAATTTCATTTCATTTTTTATCAACAATTTCAAAGCATTTCATTTTTTTGGACATCTTTCATGTCATTTTCAGTTTATATGATACTTATAATTAATGTGTCTATGTAGGTCGGTCCATACACGTGGATCACATATAAGGAAGCCCACGATGCTGCAATTCGGATTGGATCAGCAATCAGAAGCCGTGGCGTTGATCCGGTACAAACAATCCTATATATGTTTTGATCCAATCATTAATTGCTTGAAACTTCATTGGGAAAAATTTGTCTTATTTTTTTTTTAATTTTTTTTTCTGGAGTAGGGACATTGTTGTGGTATTTACGGATCTAATTGTCCAGAATGGATTATTGCAATGGAGGTAAAACCAAATATTTTTGCTATAACTATCTAAAATTTTGGGTCAACTTTCTTTTTATTATAGAGTTTCTCTAAGCGGTTTATATTGCAGGCCTGCATGAGCCAAGGGATAACCTACGTGCCTCTATACGATACTTTAGGTACTCTACGTGGATATATACGGTCAATTTTTCTACAACATTTTATCTTGAAATCAGGCTTGTCTTCATATATATTCATGCTTATGAAAGCCTAATCCGAGGTTAAATGTTGATGAAACAGGCGTAAACGCAGTTGAATTCATCATCAATCATGCCGAGGTTTCACTAGTATTTGTTCAAGAGAAGACAGTTTCATCCGTAAGTCCATTTTTCTAATTGAAATCAGTCATACCATAAATTCAATTTTACGTTTCTTGTCCAACAAGAAAGTTTTTCTTTTGTTTTGTTTTGTTTTTTATTAACTCTTGAAAGCTTTTGTGCAGATCTTATCGTGCCAAAAGGGATGTTCTTCAAATTTGAAGAGTAAGTAACAGGTCTTTCAAAATCGTAATATATATCGAACAAATATAATCTTTGAATCTAAGATATTTCTATTGCCTCGATTTTTGGTTTTAGCTATTGTGAGCTTCGGGGAAGTCTCGAGTACACAAAAGGAAGAAGCTAAGAACCAATGTGTTTCTTTATTTTCATGGAATGAGTTCTCACTAATGGTCAGTGTTTATAACTAAACGATAAAGATAATTTCTATAATTTGCAAACATTTCGACTAATGAAAATTTTATCAGGATTCGAATTTATTTTTCTCGTAGGTCCTAATTAATTATCTGGAAATTTTATCAGGGAAACTCGGATGAGAAAAACCTACCTCGTAAGCGAAAGACAGACATCTGCACAATAATGTACACAAGTGGGACGACTGGAGAACCCAAAGGTGTAATCTTAAACAACGCAGCAATTTCGGTCCAAGTTTTATCCATTGACAAAATGCTTGAAGTCACCGATCGATCGGTAATTTTCTTGTTAAAATTTATATATCTTGATTTCAATTTGTTTTTAGTTGCATACAATCATTAGGGATTAACGACTAACACCAGCGACCAAATCATGTTTATTTTAGAATCGATAGTTAAACAACACATTTTGATGACAAATTTTGGCGTCTGGCAGTTCAATTTCGTCGTTATGAATATTTTGAGTAATGATTTTTTGTCACTCAAATGTGTTCTTTAATGCATCGATTCCTAAATAAACAAGATTTGACCACCCGAAACTTGCTACTAAGCTAATTACTACAAAACATATATGGTTTAGTTGTTGTCGCTGTCTTTGGTCGTTAGTGATTTCAAAACGAATAGGACCAAAGCTTTGTAGTATTCAAATTTAACAGATACATAATTACATAATTGACTATTATATATTGGTTTATTTTTTTTTTGGAAATTTGTAGTGTGACACGACCGATGTGTTCTTCTCGTACTTACCATTAGCACATTGCTATGATCAAGTCATGGAGATTTACTTTTTATCTAGAGGCTCCTCTGTTGGATACTGGCGTGGCGTAAGCAAAAATTTCATTTAATTTTGAATCCTTAATTTTTTTTTCTCACAAAATGTCCATTACCGTTTTCTGTTTTTTTTTGTTTAACTCTGTGCCAGGACATTCGCTACCTGATGGATGACGTTCAAGCTCTGAAACCTACTGTGTTTTGCGGTGTTCCACGAGTTTACGACAAACTATATGCCGGTAATACTTTTGATCAAGTCGAAAATTCGAGTTTACTCTCATTTTTTTTGCTATTTATTGATTTTTTTCCTATTTTATATGGGTGTAGGTATAATGCAAAAAATCTCTGCTAGTGGCTTGTTACGCAAGAAACTGTTCGATTTTGCCTATAACTAGTGAGTTTTCTTTGTTTCTCCAAATAAAATGAAAAGCGGATCTTGGAATTATCTTTAAAAATCATCTTGTGAATACAGCAAATTGGGAAATATGAGAAAAGGATTCTCCCAGGAAGAAGCTTCTCCTCGTCTAGACAGACTTATGTTCGATAAGGTTAGTGTATTATCTATGATGTAGAGATAGAAAATTCTTAAATTTTGTAATGAATTATCACAACAAATGTTTGTTTTATATTCTCTTAAACTTCTCAAATAGAAGATAAGATGGATATAACATATAACATAGACTTATATATTTAAGCCAAAAAAATATTATATAGACTTATATATTCAGAAATTGAAATTGTGACAGCTTAAAGAAGCACTAGGAGGAAGAGCTCATATGTTGTTATCAGGTGCAGCGCCTCTACCTCGTCATGTAGAGGAGTTCTTGAGAATCATTCCTGCCTCTAATCTCTCTCAAGGTTATGGTAAGTCTACCTAAACCGATTTTCGATTAAGAAAACCAATCTTTTGGTTCGGGCCGGGTTTAACCGACTCTAGTGAAATGTGACAGGATTGACTGAGAGTTGTGGGGGAAGCTTCACGACCTTAGCGGGAGTATTTTCTATGGTGGGGACAGTGGGTGTGCCAATGCCGACGGTCGAGGCAAGGCTAGTGTCCGTACCGGAGATGGGTTATGATGCCTTTTCTGCCGACGTGCCGAGAGGAGAGATTTGTCTTAGAGGAAATTCAATGTTTTCTGGTTACCATAAAAGACAAGATCTAACTGATCAAGTCCTAATCGATGGATGGTTCCACACAGGTATTGTTGATCTTGGTCTTGTAAGTTATTAATGACGAATTTTATATATTTTTATGGAGCCATTCGGATATATGTTTGAATATGTTTAAATGGATAGATAAAAATTGGAAAAATGTTAATCTAGATGAAGCAGAACGGATCACGAATATCACATAAATGGAAGATATCCGCTTTGCATTAACTTTTTTTTGTAGTTGTAACAAATAATTTGATTAAAAATCAAGTGATAGTAATTGGTAGAATTGTGGCTTAACGGATATGTAGATTCTAAAACTTAGTCTATATTTTTAACTTGAGATTGCCAGTTATAAAAGAAACCTATTGAATAACTTTGAAATTTGATTTTTATTAATATGTGTAGGAGATATTGGAGAATGGCAAGAAGATGGATCAATGAAGATCATAGATAGGAAGAAGAACATCTTCAAGTTGTCTCAAGGTGAATATGTTGCTGTCGAAAACCTCGAAAACACTTACTCAAGATGTCCCCTCATTGCTCAGGTATGTAATTATTAAAAATATGTTTCAATACTATAATCATAGTAATTGAATAATTGTTATCTAATAATTGTACTATTATCTACCAATAATTGTGACAGATATGGATCTATGGAAACAGCTTCGAGTCGTTTTTGGTAGGTGTGGTTGTACCTGATAGAAAGGCTATTGAAGATTGGGCTAAACTCAACAACCAATCTCCCAATGATTTTGAATCTCTATGTCAAAATCTCAAAGCTCAAAAATACTTCTTGGATGAGCTTAACTCTACTGCAAAACAATATCAAGTACGTATACTTTTGATTCTCACATTTAAAAATTGAAATGATTTTTATCAACGTTGAGAATAATAGTGATTTTGTTTGTATTTGTAGCTTAAAGGATTTGAAATGTTAAAGGCTATTCATTTAGAACCAAACCCTTTTGATATTGAAAGAGATCTTATTACTCCAACTTTCAAGCTGAAAAGGCCACAGCTTCTCCAACATTACAAGGTGATCCTTTCTCTACTCACTTTCTTCTTTTCTTTTCGATCCGCCTTTTACGTTATAACATAGAAATATGTAAACAAACGCAAACGAATACGAAAAAATTGAACCTTAATTACATATTACGAGGGATCACCAGAATAATATTCGTGATTTGTCGCAAATGTACTATGATCCTAACTTGTCCTCACTAATGCATATTACTTGTTATACTAATCCAGTTTTAAGATTGTAAAACGACTTTTTTTAATTTGTTTATTTCAGGGCATAGTTGACCAACTTTATTCAGAAGCGAAGAGGTCCATGGCATAGATACCGATCGGCTATTCATTTTCTGATGCTATTTGGGTTTGTATGATATGTTACAAAATTGTGTTCGGATCCTCTCATCATGTGATTCTTGTGACACTTAATACATAGTTTGGAAACTATATATTATTAAGCAAAGATTACTAAAGATTTTCTTGATACATTTTGATTTATCTTTTAGTTGTCCATACTTTTGATACTTTTAATCTCTAAGAAAAACTTCAAAAGAGTATTGAAATTTTAACTTTTCATCGAATAAAAGCAATTCTCACTTCTAATGGTTGGGGATAATTTTTCTTTCTGGAGGATTGACCAATCATAAAACGATACGTGGGAAATCAAGTTAGCAAAAAAAATCTCCCAAAAAAAAAAAGACAATTTGTACAGCCCCATTTTCAAGATTTTTTTCGTCCATACGAATCTCCTACCCTAGTGACTCTCGAGACCCTTCATCTAGAGGTTTAAAATATGAAAATTTTTAAAGAAAACTTCCAATGATCACATTAGTATTTGCACTCATAATTTTGAGAAATACTGGATTTCTACAATACATTATAGTTATCCTTAAGAGTTGAAGTCAATATATGATTAAGAAAAATTTATCTTGCTTTCCCCTTTTCAGTTGAAGACACAATTATAAACCTTAAGTGATCCATATGATGCCAACACAAAAGGTACATATCTCTCTCTTGTGGGTTATTTCATACCTGAAAATAATGTATAAATCAAACTAAACTAAATCATTCTCATACGATTGATTTATCAGAATCAGAAAAGTTACATAAACAAATAAGTCGTTAATAAAACTAAAAGATATCACGTATTTTTCTCATTAAAAGAGCAATGGATTTTCTAGATTGATTCTAAACTAAATCAAACTAAAAGAAGCAAAGAAAACATACCAACATGATCTAATTTTCCTTATCCGCTAAACGAAGTTTGAAACCAAAAATATGTTTCGCGAACCGCCAGGTGTCTATGTCCGGAGTCCATAAATTGATAAATCCAAAATTAATTCATAGTCAAAGCCTCAAAACAGATGATTAGAAAGAATCATAGTATTAATTACATTTGCACATGTCTTGACGACAGAACAGAGGAGAAAAACGGATCATCAGGAGATCTACCCACGTGGCATGTAATAATCTTTATTTTTGCTGGCAATGCATCTAATAAACTATACAGTGATTACTTCAGCAAATCGTAAAAATTAATAAAATCAGATTCTTGTAATGTTTCGGTCCGCCAAACAAGGCCAGATGTGTTGGGTGATCTCAATACAAATGCTAATTAGCAACTACTTTAGAGTATATTATAAGTTTATACTAATAATTAAGCTAAAACGAGTAATACAAGTGCAACAACGGTCCAGGAGACACAATTATTTAACTATTAATCTATAATAATGTTTGTAGATACGCTCAATTGATACGCTTACGTACTTAGTTTTTTTATACATGCGCTTTCTTGCTAGATTAGAGTTCTTTTATATTTTGGTTCTTTAACTCTAGAGTTCTGGTGGAACTTTTTTCTTTTTTTTGTGAGCTTTTTAATGAATATTGATTGATTAAACGTTTTATTTCCTAACTGATTGTAATGAAAATAGTTTTAAGTTTTCTAAACGATTTATATCAAAGAGACGTTACAAAAAATATTTACTACAAGGGAAAAATGTTAGCTAATTTTGTTATTATTTTTATTTTTAGAAAGTAAAAACTGTAGAAAGATAGATGTAGAGGGAATTGAAAAGAACTTCTTTTCTATTATTAAGAATCACTTAAACACTCTACAAGAGATGTTTAATCAGATTTATACAAGCTTGACACAACTTGTGACTGACCAATCCTTAATCTACCCAAACTCACAACACAGCAACAGCTATGTAATCTCTCTGTTCACTCACCAAGAACCCTAAATAGCTTCTAGCCTAGTACTTGAGATTCACAGAGATAATCTAAAACGCCCACCTAGAACTAAACCCTAGACTGCGTTTATATAGACTAACGACACACACGTCATTAGCCACTTTCCTAATCTTGAGATCACACCAAATCTTCTTTCCTTGATTTGATTGTATCTTCAATACACCAAATAACTTGAGTATCACGTTCTGGAAACTTCCAATCACCAATCACTGCTCGCCACGTCATCTTCATTTAATGTCTCGCAGTTTCCCGCATACAGCTCTCTCCTGTGCTCCACAGGATCTTCCTGTAGCTCGACGTCCATATATCTTCAATCTCCCCCTTTTTACTTGAATGTGACACCTCAAGCTCCAGAGTTTCCTGTCAGGGTTAGTTTGCCAAGATACACAACAAAAAGCACCAATGTATATTTCAAACTCAAAAGAATTCTGAAATAACATCCATTAGCAAAACAGAACATAAGAGACCCATGTTCAAGTTTCAACACCCAACAGAAGCAAATACAGAGGAAGCAAATACAGAACAGTAGTGCAAAAACAAAACCCAGACACACTACAAATTTGCTCCCCCTTACTAATAGCCTAGCCTAAACTACTCAGCCACTAGCCTCCTCATCACTAGGATCCCCAGCAGGATCTCCAGCACCAGCAACAGCTTCATCAAAATTACCATATTCTCCCCCTGCTTGAGTGCACATTCATGTAAAAACCAAGGAACAATCAAGTTAAGCAGGAATTGTATATGAAAAAGAACAGGTACTTACCTTCCAGGCGACGCTTCATCCGTTCACCAACAGCAAGAAGGTCTGCAAGATCATCTCGAAGCAGAGTCCTCGAAGTCGGAGCTGGTGGTGCCTCATCCAGAACCTCAGAAGCCTCCAACTTGAAAATTCCAGAAGAGCGAGAGAGAGTGTCAGATGGTAACGACCGAATATCTCTCTGAGCAGTCAGCACCTGATAGATCAAGTTAGGATATGCAAGACGGTGCGTGGAATTGGGTCCGAGCTTGGACAAATGCAGGGCATGCTCAAAGACTAACTTCCCAAAGTTGAATGGCTTATTATCCATCACCATATCAATCAGCCGCAAACGATCTACACGAAGGGTGGTGCGATTGGTGCCCGGAATCCAGTTGTCGCAGCAGATCTTGTGAAACATCTTCATAGAGCATGAGAACCTCTTCGTGATGAGATCAGCCCAACGTGTGACCTTAGCTCCAGACATAAGAACAGCAAGATCATCCTCTGAGGCTGCAGACTGAATGACTGGCTTGGTAACATCAAAACGAGAGGAGTCAATCAGGTACAGCTTGTTGATGAGGGCAGGTGAAAACTCAAACATATGCCCACGAACATAGACAAATTGAAGATCATCTTCACGAGACTCAAACTCAGCAAGATTTGCATAGAATTCCTTCACAATCTCTTGAACATATGGCTCCATATCAAGAACAGTGGGAGTCATACCTGTAGATTCAAGAAAAAATTGCACCACTTCCCTGTTTGGATTTCCAGGAACCAAAGGGAAATTCTTCTGAGTGATGAACTGGCGCTTGGAGATGTGTTTGTATCTTTTGACAGCTTGAGCCGAGATGTAGATGGGATTGTGTGGCTTGGTACTGGAGCGACGAAAATCAGGATCAGCGTGGTCCCGATCTGCAACTAAGCTCCTGTGAGCTGCAGCACGATCAGCAAAAGGAACCAAGGGTACCTCTGAAGCATCCTCATCACCAAAACCAAAACCAGGAATGGTTACGTCGGAATCGGACGAGTCAGCCACCGGAGATGGGATGTGGCGAGATGGAGAGACCTCACCAGTGGCACATGGCGGTGGAGCAGAGGGAGTGAGGCGGAGAGGAGACTTAGAAGAACCAGGATGGTGCGGCTGCTCCGGCATCTCCTCATCGGGCACGATCTGCGGATCGGCGGCAGTGGACGCCGGTGGGTGTGACGAGGATCCCGGCTCAGATGCAGAGGCGAAAAGATAGGGGCGGAGCACTTGGTGGTCGGGATTCAAGAGATCCGGATAGGCGATCTCCTCATCCACCAGGCGGCGGCGCTTGCCTGCCGGAAATCCACCACGACGACGACGACCGGAACGAGCTGGTTGTGGGGAACCGGGGATTTGTTGAGGCTCGCGGGTCTCCGGAGAGTTAGGTGCAGTGGCCATCGAGGGACTGGACAACCGGAGAGAAGGAGACGGCGTGATCGTCGGAAGAGAGAGACGGCGGCACAGTGGACCAAGGGCGGCGACAATTGTGGCGGCTAGCTTCGGAATCAAACCGTCGGAGGGTGGTGATTTATCTTTGGACATGTGAGAGAGCAAAAAGTTCTAGGGTTTTTGTGAAACACATAGGAGACGACAAGGGGTATAGGCGCGGGAACCTTTCGTCTTCCCAGAACCGGATCTGGTTTGAACCGGTTTACTTCTGAAACCTGAAATTCAATCAAAAACTCGACAATCCAATTAGTAAACACAAACCGGTTTTAACCGGTGAAACACCCAAGTGGTTTGAACATGCACTCTGTGCCTTACAGATAGGACCTGTTGAACACACAAAGATCACAGGCAACCACTAGACACCAGAGACAGGAAGTGACCATATCAGAGATACAGAACTTTGTCACAAAACATGATTTCATCATTTTTTTTTTTTTTTTCATTTTGAGTCACTCAGTAGTTGTATCACGTCATACCTGTGAACACAGAGTTCCTGAAGTAACATGATATGCACAGGAGCAAGCACATCGAACTGTAAACGCCGGATTCAACCCACCAGCTCAGTGAGGTAGCTATTTCTCTGTTGAGGAGCTTTCACACACACTGCTTCACTCAGACTAGTCTACACATCTGCATACTCAGCCAGAAAACATTCTCAAAACAGCTTTCGCCCCCCCTTTTTGTATTTTTCTTTTTCGTCAAAAATGTAGGCGAATAGTGGTATCACGGGAAATTTTCCTAACCTCGCTTCCATCTTTGTGTGATCATCCCTTTCGAAGTAAAATAACGAGGTCATAGGAAATTTTCCTACCTCTTTACTCAAAAGAGACTCATTTCATCTTTTCATTCCTTTGTTTTCTTTTTCTTTACTTCTTGTTTTTCAATGACCAAGATTGATAAGCTGAGCGAACAGGAAAGCCATCTCTGTTGAACATTGTCGAAGCCAAGTATGCAGAGCAGCTCTTTTTCTGAGGGAAGTTGCCAATAGGAGGTTTTTCTTGCTGTAGTCTGTACCACAGTGACCAAGGGATTAAAAACTGCTGTACTCCTGTGCAGTGATCCTGTTCCAACAATCCCTTAGTGACAAAAACCAGGTCAGTTTTCACAAATACCAAGTGACTTTTGCAAATTTGTGAAAGTGCGCAAATCAAGTGGTTTAGTAAAAATATCAGCCAATTGTTTCTCAGTATCAATATAAAGAATCTCAATAAGTTTCCCTTCAACTAACTCTCTGATGAAATGGTGCCTGATATCAATGTGCTTAGTGCGAGTGTGATGGACAGGATTCTTTGTAATATCAATAGCACCTGTATTATCACAGTGTATCAACAGAATTTCAGAAGTCATACCATAATCTGCAAGCATTTGTTTCATCCATAGTAGTTGAGTGCAGCAGCTACCCATGGCAATATACTCAGCCTGAGTGGATGAAATGGAAACGCAGTTCTGCTTCTTGCTATGCCAAGCTATCAGGTTGTTTCCCAGAAAGAAACATCCTCCAGATGTGCTTCGTCTGCCATCAAGACATCCTGACCAGTCTGCATCACAGAAACCTGCAAGATTATGGTTAGTATGCTTGGTATAGAACAAACCATATTCAACTGTACCTTTGACGTATTTGATAATACGTTTCACAGCATTTAGATGAGAAACACGTGGGCAGGCTTGGTAACGGGCACACAGACCAACACTGTAACACAGATCTGGTCTGCTTGCTGTCAGATACAGTAGACTCCCGATCATGGCTCTGTAGAGTTTCTGATCAACTGCCTGTCCTGCTTCATCTTTTGTCAATTTCGAGGTTGTGCTCATGGGAGTGCGTGCCGTCTTGCTGGTTTGCATATCGAATCTCTTGATAAGATTCTTCGCATATGTGCTCTGAGAGATGAAGATTCCTTCAGCTGATTGCGTGATCTGCAGACCCAGGAAGTAATTCAGCTCTCCCACCATGCTCATTTCAAACTCAGTTGTCATAGTCTTAACAAACTTATTCACCAGCTCTGTTTTGGTACTGCCAAACACTATGTCATCCACATATACTTGGACAATCAGTAGATCAGAGTCTGATCTGAAGATGAACAGAGTCTTGTCGACACTACCTCTCTGAAATCCATTGTCCAGCAGAAACTGTGCAAGTCTTTCGTACCATGCACGTGGAGCCTGTTTCAGTCCGTACAATGCTTTCTTCAGCTTAAACACGTGTGCAGGAAAGTGAGGATCCTCAAATCCTTTCGGCTGGGCTACATAGACTTCTTCTTTGAGCAGTCCATTCAGAAAGGCACTCTTTACATCCATCTGATGTAGTTTGATTTTCAGCACACAGGCAATGCCTAACAGCAGCCTAATGGATTCAAGACGTGCAACAGGAGCAAATGTCTCATCGAAATCAACTCCTTCTACTTGAGAGTACCCTTGAGCCACCAGACGAGCTTTGTTGCGAACAACATTGCCAGATTCATCAATCTTATTCTTGAAGATCCATTTTGTCCCTACAACATTCACATGTGCAGGTCTAGGTACTAAGTCCCACACATCATTTCTGGTGAACTGATTTAGTTCTTCTGTGCATGCACCATACCAGAATTCATCATCAAGAGCTTCTACAATGGTCTTAGGCTCAATTTCAGACACAAAACAAGAGTATTGCAGCATTTCATGAAAATCCAGCTGAACACCTCTGGTCGTTCTTTCATTCAGATCTCCTATCACATCAGCAGCTGAGTGATTTTTGTGGACTGTCAGCTTTTTAGGTGGATGCGTTACAGGAGATGACTGTGATTCACTGTCTTTCTCAGCACCATCAGTTTCGTCTTCAGCAACTACTGCAGGTTCATCTATTGCTGATGCTTCAGCGTTCTTGGTTGCAGGTTCTTCAGTAACTTTTGCTGCAGGTTCTGCTTGTTCTGTTTCAGACTCATTTTGTACTGGAGGTAACAAAAATCTTGACTTGTCATCAAAAACCACATTAACAGCATCACCAATTATCTTGGTTCTCTTGTTGTACACCCGGTAAGCTGAACTATGTGTTGAGTATCCCAAGAAGATTCCTTCATCACTTCTTGAAGCGAATTTTCCCAACTGCTCTTTGTCATTAAGAATGTAGCATATGCACCCAAAGACACGAAAATGGCTTAGATTCGGACTTTTGCCTTTCCAGATCTCATACGGTGTTGTCTTTGTGCCAGGTTTCACATACACCCTGTTGATGATGTAACATGCAGTACTAACAGCTTCTGCCCAGAAACCTTCAGATATGTTGTTTCCATGTATCATAGCTCGTGCCATCTCCTGCAGTGTTCTGTTCTTTCTTTCAACAACTCCATTCTGCTGAGGAGTTCTTGGAGCTGAATACTGGTGTCTGATTCCCTGTGATTGACAGAACTTCTCAAAGACTTCATTCTGAAATTCACCACCATGATCACTTCTTATCTGAATGATATTTCCCTTTTCATTTTGCAGTTGCAATGCAAGTATCTTGAAGCTCTCCACAGCTTCAGACTTTTCTCTGAGGAAACGAACCCATGTATACCTTGAAAAATCATCAACCAACACAAAGATATACTTCTTACCATTGATACTTTCAACTTGAACAGGACCCATAAGATCCATATGAATAAGTTCAAGTATCTTCTTAGACCCAATTTCAGGTATCTTCTTGTGATTGACCTTGACCTGCTTTCCCTTGTTGCACGCACTGCATACAGCATCCAGTTTGTCAGATAGTTTTGGTACACCTCGAACCACTCCAGCGTTCACGATCTTAATCAGAGTCTGAACGTTCATGTGTCCAAGTCTCTTGTGCCACAGCTCCAGATCATTAACAGACACAGACAAACAGATATCAGATGACTTCCACATGTAGCAGTTATTACCTGAGCGCACACCACACAGTACAGTGTTTCCATTTTCATCAACTGCCTTACAATCAGTTCTTGTGAAGATTACTTTCAGACCATCATCACACAGCTGACTTATGCTGATCAGATTTGCTTTCAATCCTTCAACATAGTAAACATTTATTAGTGATGGTTGATCATCACGTTCAATGTTCCCTTTTCCTCTTATTCGTCCTTTACCACCATCTCCAAATGTAACCTTTCCACTGGCCTCTTCTGTGAAGGTTGACAGAACATCTGAATCACCTGTCATGTGTCTTGAACACCCACTGTCAAAATACCAGGGATTACTTGCAGTTCCATCTGTAGATGTATACGCCACCTTCGCTGTGAAATCCTTATCTTCGTCTGACTCATCCAACTGCACAATAGTCACATTGCAGGTCAGATCGATTTCTTCAGATTCTGTGACTGCCCTGTTGTACTGTTCTTCATCATGTTCTGAATCTTTGTTGTACAGATCTACTTTTTTAACCCAGACTTTACCGAACTTGGATGGTTCAATAAAGCATTTACGTGCTTGCCACAACTGCTTGATCTTGTCTTGAAACTTATAGCATGTCCTTCTGATATGACCTGATTTCCCACAGTAAAAACAGTCAAACGATCTTCGACCCCTGTTGGACCTGGTCCACTTCTTCCTGGGGGTAACTTTCCTGTACTGAACAGCTGTATTCTGTGCAGGACGTTGACTCACCTTTCTGGGTTGCTGTTTTTCTGAAACAGTTTTCACTCCTTGAGCTTCTTCATCATGATAGGTTGTACTTTTCACAAACTGAACAGTATTTGAAACATCCAGAGATGCTTTGGGAACACATGGCTGGTATCCCAAACCTCTGTGACCTGATCCAATTATTCCCATGGATAGAATCTGATCCAGATTTTTACCACCATTGTTCAGCATTCTGATTTTCTTGTGATTCTCGCTCAATTCTCTTTCCAGCAAAAGAGATCTTTCTTTTTCTTTCTCATATCCTTCATGTAAGCAATTTATCTTCTTCTCAAGTATCTGCTTTTCAGGCAAAGGCATCCTCTCTCCAATATTTTCTTCTTTGGCTTCTTCTTCTAACATATTAACCTTTGCCACAAGCATTAGATTCTCCTTAGTAAGCTGCAGTTTGTCATTGCTCAGAGAGATCCAGCTGTCGTACAGAGTCTTGTAGTTATCACTGGTGATCTCCTTTCCATCATCATTGTCTGAATCAGAATCCTCACTGGAGTCATTCTGATCTTTTGCACTGAATGCCACA